TAGAATCAAGATCATTTAATCATTAACTGTTTCTAAAATTATTTAGTTCCATTTTCAAAAATATAAACGAAAGTCTTCTTATTTGTCTACAAACAATACATAATGGAGTAAATCGGAAACTAACCATTTATGTTGCTTTGTAGTAGTAGCTCTTAGGAATTTAGAACACGAGGAAATATTCATTCATGGCCTCAACTAGTTACGTTCCAATACAAGCTAGATTATTAAAACACGCAACACGTTTGTGCCTGTTTGTGAATCATGATGATACTACATGCGCCCGCGACTTTGTCCACGTAAACAATGAAGGTCTGGACCTCCAGTGACATTGGACGAACAGAAATGTAATACTACACGTATACCAAATTCCATGGCGACCATCACCAGTAAATAACAAATAAACTCACTTTCACATTTTACCATTTTACTTTTCTTTAACAATGAAAACTATATTAATTTATCAGTAACATCATCATCACTGTCCTATCCTTATTCCAATTATTATTCGGGATCGGTGTAATATGTTTTTTATCCATTAACAAAAAGATTTGACTTATAGATAGTCTTATGACCGGCCGCCTGCCTAACCTTAATCCTCTTTGGGAATAATTTATCAGTAATAATAAATTATAAATTGTAATTTATTTATTTAATATTTATAATAAAGATAAATATTAGTAAAGATTATATTTAAAGATGAAATGTAAATAGATAGACAGCGTCATGAGACACATGTCCTAGCGGTCCTATATAATGTCTTTAATGATCTCAATTCTCCTTCCTACCTTCGTTCCCGGTTCCAATTGTTACCTCCTCCTTCCAGACCTAGACGTCTTTGTCTGAACCAGTCCAGGGTACTGAAGCTGTAAAACCCATTTTATGGGTAATTCATTTGCATATCGTGCTGTACAGCTGTGGAATAGACTTCCCGTGAGTATTCAGAATAGCCCGTCTAGCAGTTCCTTCAAAAAAAGATTAAAATCATTCTATCTTTCCAATTTAGTTTAAATATAACAATGATTACAAGACTGTCATCATTGTGTTCTCTTATATATTAGACTGACCAGAACCAAGATAAGTTTTCCTCAATAATTTATTATTCCTTATAAAGGAATTCTTTTATATCCTTATTATAAAGAAATAATTTATTTAATATTTCTTTATAATAAAGATATAAACAAAAGATAGCTAGTATTTACTAATTAGTATTATTATTATTAATTAATATTACTAAAAACACACATAGTCAAATGTGAGCGCCTTACTGGCCATTAAGATAAATTATTTTAATTAAAAAAAAACCACTTATATCCTTTTAACCAGAGTTGTACAAACTGAAGTTTCAAAAATACAGTGTATCGACTCTGTATGACAGTGCCGTGGGCAAGATAAGACGTAGCGGAAAAACCGTACACAATTGGTACATCGTGCAGGTCGCCCTACTACCCTGCAAATTTATATGTCTATCGCGCGGTAGAAACATCCTCTATATCACATATACTTGCTTCTAGGAAACTGTCTTGTTGTAACTTCCTTATTTTTATTATAATCTATTTACTTAACTAAGAATAACAATTTAAGATTGTGTTCCACAAATATAAACCAAGTTCAGTTGTAACGATACCAGTTGTTTTGTTTTAAAAACGAAACCACTGAACTGATTTTATTAAAATTTCTATGAGACTAATCTGTAAATATATCCTTTCTGGTAACTAAAAAATTTTCCAAATCGATTTATAACTAACGAAGTTATAAGGCAACAAACATAAAAAAAATACAACCGAATTGAGGGCCTCCTTCTTGCGGTTGTAAACAATAACTGTACCAAACGGAGTATTTATTAATGTTGCATCAAACACGCATAAATAATATCATACGATTTACACCATATCTTTGTCATTGAACAGCTTATTTAAAATATAATGAACATTCGAACACAAATAATCCAAATAATAATTGTATTTATATATTATATATTTATATATAAAATTCATAATAATTGTTCAATTATTAATAATTAAAATATGCTTACTGCTGCTATATTACTTGCTGTTATATTACAAAAATAAATATTATTTTATTTATTTCATTCCAATAATATGATTATTCACTATTCGTCAATTTCGAATTATTGTTAATGAGAACATTATAATAAACCATTCGGATTAGTTTTTAAAATATCAACCAAAAAAAAACTTTTATCAATATATTTATTTCTTCAATTAACACTACTGATTAATTGAAATTTTCCATTAACCTGAATTTTGGTGTATGTATATTTTAATCAGTATCTTCGCGAATACAGGACCGATTTTAGCCGCCTTGGTTTAGTAATTAATTTTACATTCATTAACTATTTTACATTCTATAACTATTTTTATTCGGTTAATTATTTTTACAATCAATAGTTTACTTCTATGTTGGTCCCGTCCCGTATAAATTTTGTTACGATTGAAGTGTTTTTATTAAACACAATCTTAAATTATAAAGAGTTGTCTAGATAAAATATATAAAAAACAATTTTAAGGTCGTTACTCACAGCGCAGATAAAATATCTCAACAGGAGCGCATTTTACGATATCGCGTTTTATACAAATCAATCGACGTACACGCAGATAATATTATATTTTATCGTCAAGTACCTACTGAATGGTCTGAAAGATATCCAAAGATTTTGTTAATTACAATAAATTCTCATTTTTTTATCAAATTTAATTAAACCATTTTTATAATATTTATACGACTAGCTTTACACCCGCAAATTCGCCCGCGTAGTATTCAATAAAAATGCCTAATTAATTCTTCCTTGTTGCATGAACGCATTAAATTTAACGTCAAACGCTACGCAGCTCACTCACATTTTACTAAAGATAACGTTTAAACTATTTACCAAAATTACTTACTGTATCTATTTTACATAGCCATAGTAATAAAAGCATTTATTTGGATAAAGATTAATTTATAATACCATAAAAGTGCATTATAAATATAACATTGATTTTAATGTTTTGCTACGTTATAATTATATATTGGATTCTTACGCAACTGCAAATTTTTTTAGTACTTTGTAAGACTAACAATTATACTATACCTGCATTATTTTCGTGTAACTCGTAACGGTTTATGCAGCGTACGCCGAAATAACTCTTAAATGGCAGAATACTTTTTTACTTCCTTGACAATTATACTTCGGCCAATTTACACAATATCTTTGTTTATTTTCCCTATGTGGTACCTACATATTAAAATTTTAGTCAAACCCAGATGGTAGTTTTTGTGTGAAAGAGTAACAAACATCGATACATCGATCCATCCATCCATCGTTACAAACTTTCGCATTTTTAATAGTAATATAATAGAATAATTACTAGTATATTTCATTATTAAGTAAAACGTAGTAATAGCGATTTTATACATACATACATATCTGTCACGCCTGTCTCCCATTAGGGTAGGCAGAAACAATGGAACGCCAAATGCTTCGATTCAAACAAACCTCTTTCGCTTCTTCCACATTCATCAATCTTGTCATACACGCTCGTCGGTTACGGGTACTTTTAATTTGGCCCTTCTTCAGCACGTCGCCTATTTGGTCGACATACGTCCGTCTAGGGCGGCCCCTACCGACATTCATTCTTCATTCATTCTTGCTCGATAAATCTCTTTCGTAATTCTTCTTTCATCCATCCTCTCCAAATGACCAAACCAACGCAACATTCCTTTTTCGATTTTGGTCACTACATCGACTTTCAGTCCACACTTCTCTCTAATCACACTGTTTCTTACTCTATCTTTTAAAGTAATACCACACATACTTCTCAAAGCTCTCATCTGTACAGCATTTATCTTACTTTCATGCTTCTTCTGCCATACCCACGATTCGCTTCCATACATGAGTGTTGGTGTCAGTACTCCTTGAATTATAGCAAGGCGAGCTTTGCTCGATACATTTTTACTTGACATAATCGAGAGCAGTGCACCGTTAACACTGTTTCCCGCTTTAACTCTCCTCTCCATATCTCTTTCACACTTCCCATCCCTCGTAAACAAAGAACCTAAATATAGAAACTCACTCACTTGCTCCACTTTTTCATCTCCTATCATAATCTGGCATGCCGTTAAACTTTCATTCCTCTCAAAAACCATTACCTTCGTCTTCTTCGCATTTATTTTCATACCTTTTCTTGCATACGCTTCATTCATTATAGTCACCATTTGTTGTAATTCATACTCCGACGATGCAAAAAGTACTTGGTCGTCGGCGTATAAAAGAGTCTTAAACAGAGACTCATTCATCCTGAATCCACAATTAGATCCTTTCAAATCGGTCAAGCAACTGTCCATAAATAGGTTGAACAGCCAAGGAGACGCTACACAGCCCTGTCTAACACCGCGTTCAATGCCAAACCAGTCTGTATAGACTCCATTTATTCTGACACAGGCATTTGAATCCTTATATAAAGATTTGAATGCCCGTATCAAATGGCTGCTCACCCCATACATTGCCAGTGTTGACCACAGTTCATTCCTCTCCACTCTATCATAAGCCTTTTCAAGGTCAATGAAGGCGCAGAAAACCTTCTGATGTTGAGCTAAGGTTTTCTCTGTTATGCACCTTAAGGAAAAGACTTGATCCGTACATCCCATACCCTTTCGAAACCCTGCTTGCACATCCCAAATTTTACTTTCCGTCTCATTCATCACTCTTTTAATCAAAATCCTAGCATACAATTTGCCTACAACACTAAGAAGGCTTATTCCGCGGAAATTTTTGCACTCCTGCTGTGACCCGCTGCCTTTATATAGTGGCACAATAACAGCTTTAGCGATTTTATATTTTTATAGAATAAATTAAATCATAAACGAAATAAAAAAAAATGTAATGAATTAAATGGAACAGTTCTAAGGAGAGTCTGCAACATGCCAGTAATAATCTCTGATATTTCAAACGTATATATTTACCACACTGATTCTATAAAAAAAATTTATAACATTTACAGGAAACCAACAAGTGGAAATCTATATGTGAACGGCCAATTACGCAACGAAGACACGTTTCGACGGAGATCCTGCTATATCCTGCAGCAGGACCAGGTTCAAGACATGCTGACGATACACGAGTCTCTCACCATCGCCGCTGAACTTAAGTTAGGAAATCACGTCACACAGGAACAGAAGAAAAATAGGGTATGTTTTGGTTTGTTATATTTATTATTTCAGCCGTTAACTATCCACTGCTGGACATAAGCCTTCCCCATAAGGAGAGTTTTGCAAGTAGTTGCTATACTTGGCAGGCAGGTTGGCAACCACAATTAGGCTTTTAGAGATGTTTTAAGAGGGACGCTGCTGCCCATCCCTCGCCCTCTCTTAGTTGTCTCTTACGACACCCACGGGAAAGGAAGGCACATTCTATGCCGGGGTGCACACGACGAATTTTATTATGACCTTAACTTAATAATTTTAAATAGTGGTTCCCAAAAAAAATTACTTCAATTGTAGCAAAACCGTTTGTTTAGATTTAAAATTTCTAAAACTGAACTAATTATGATAAAATTTCTGTTGGAAAAATCTCTAAATATATCCTTTTAATTAAAAAACGAGTTTTTCAAATCTATTCATAACTGGCGGAGTTATGAAGTTTGTTACTTTATAACTATATTAAACACGTAAGAAATACAAACGAATTGAAAAACTCCTTTCTTCTTTCTTTTAAAGTCAGATAAAAATATTACCTATAAGTTGCCTAACTTAGAATAGCAAACAAGCTGAGGACTGAGGTGTTGTGCCTCTATACTCTATAATTTCACTGCCACCCTTCAAACCGAAACACAGCCATATGAACACAACAGAAACTCCAATGAGACAAAAGTAGCCAAGCAAACTACTTTTTATTTGACTTCAGAAAGGAGGTTTTCAATTCCGTTGTACTTTTTTTTCAACTTACTTCGTAATTTCATTAGTTCTAAACTGATTTATAAAATAATTTCTTTACTTTAAAGAAAACATTTAAAATTTGGTTCCAGAAAAAGATTTTTATTTTTAGATTATAATTTTGTGTGTCTCATAAAAAAACCGACTTCAATTGTGACAAAACCAGTTGTATTAACCTAAAAATTAAACTATTGAACCGATTTTGAAATAAAAAAAATAATTTCCCAAAACAATTTACAACTGACTGAGTTATGAGGTCACAAACATAAAAAATACGACTGAATTAGAACCTCTTTCTTTCTTTGTTGGACACCATCTTTAATTAAGTACAAAGTCTCCTCTGTTATAAATAAATATATTGAGATATAAATAAATAAATTTAAGGGAACATTATTTAAATTACCTACATAATTATATCGTTAAAATAATACCAAATTGTAACATTTCGTTTGACCATTGCGTTCCATCTTGCGTTATGTAACCAATGGTATCTAATGACTATTGGTTACATAACGCATCGATTTGATCCCAGCATTCTATTTGCTCATGACATATCATTAGGGTAAATGTTTTGGGTTTTACGTAAGAACTTCTTAATAATATGTATTGAGAACATTACTGTGCTCTCTATTCAGGAAACCTTTGAGATCGGGATAATCAACCTAGTGGTTACTACCTTATAATAGTTTACCCCAAATTTGAGGGTCGGGAACATCAAAAAAATTTTTTTTTACTTTTTCGACAAATGATAGTCTAGGCATATTAATTTATTTTTAAATTTAATTTGAAACCTCTAGAAAATAATATGTGCAAGATTTTTGTTAAGCTATTTTACTTACCTTTTGCTCACCTAACCTAACCTTCAAGAAAAGAGTATATTCCTTTTTAAAAGGCCGGCAGCACACCTGCAATGCCGCTGGTGTTGTGGATGATCATGGGCGGCGTCATTTACCATCAGGTGAGGCGCATGCTCGTTTGCCTCCTGTGTTGTAAAAAAAAATTCTAAGTATTGTTATTGGTGTGTTTCCCAGAACTATAATTAATATTAATTAATTATTTCTCCATTCTTTAGATATAACTTGCATTTTATTCTCCTGATAGTTACTGAAGACTAAATAATTAATCTTTGCTCACTGCAGATACACGAAATCATCACATCACTTAGTCTGGAAGGAGCACGGAACACTAGAGCCGGTGACTTATCTGGGGGACAGAAGAAAAGACTAGCTATAGGACTGGAGCTCATCAGCGATCCACCAGTCATGTTTCTAGACGAACCGACTAGGTATGTAAGTAATTTATATCTATACATCCTGATATCGTAGTTTATCTAACTAGCCAAGGAAAGAAAAAATCAGATTGACTTAGAAGATCGATTGCTCGAGATCAAAAGTTCTAATCTGTGTTTATTTGATGATTTTTTTATATTAATCGATGTAATGTCGTTATCTATTCTAATCACAGTATTATTATTCCTAATATAGATATATTAAATGTGAAATTGAGTTTATTTTTTGTTTAACCAATCTTTATTTGGCATACGTATAATATATTTTATGCGGAGAAGGATATAAGTTTTTTTTTATTCTGGTTACACGAACGAACTCGCAGACACACCTTTATAATTGTAAGAGTGCTATTGGGCAGCACGTAAATAAATAAGTAATATGGCGACAATAAACTGTCAAAAATGTGTTAAATTGTGCAGTCGAATTTCTTGTAATCTTAATACGCCCACTTATGCTACTTGATATATTTAATAAATAACATTGATAGGTATTAGGTAAGTAGATTTTTTATCAAAATTATTCATTTAATAATAAAACAATAAATTAATATACTACAGTAATATATTAATTAACACATAAATCTCTTTGTCTAGTGATTTGTTTATTTTATGCACTGTTATTTCAATATATACATGTCATTCAAAGATAATTCAGAAATCGTGGTAACCAAAATATACTTTAAACAATTGAAGTGTATAATCATATTTTTCTTAATCATTTTAACCGTTCATTATAAATATGGACCCCTCATCCATAATAAGAACCGCTCACATTATCCTAAAATAATACATTGCTATGACCTCCAAAACATTCAGAAATCCTCAAAACAGTGAACCAGCATTAAAAATATAGTATATATAACTCGCCCAGCCTTTCAACCAATAAGCTTCTCACGCTGAATGTGTAGTTTTAACGAACTAGTATATTTACATTAACAGACAAAGGAAATCCTATTATAATTTATATACACTTATACAGTGTGGTTTTTAACTCCCCAGGAAACTTCTGCCCTTTTGGGTGAAGCTATGCGATCTGTGTTAACCCGAAAAATAGAACCCAATTTACATTTAGAACTCACACTATAGCTGAATAACACGACTTGTCTAGTCGTGTTCTTTACCTAGTGGAAGGGTCACCCTGTAATATTTTTATCGATAAATTATAAGCCATATTAATTTACTGTATGTTGTTACCTATAAACCGTAGAGGGCACTACGTTACATGGATATAAAAGTTTATTTATTGTCTTTTGATGAATGGTATCTGTATATTATGATAATAAAATGTAACAGACAATGAATCATCAACCGTCTTTTCTGATAATAACTGCTACTTGTACTAATACAGGGTATAGTAATATACAGGGTGAAATCCAAAACGTTAGCAGTACGTCAAACGAAAAATCTACCATTGCTGTAGAATATGGTAGACTAGAAAATTTATGAAACAAATATTGAAAATATACAAAAAAATTAAATCTCCTACACTAATTCAACTGTCTTGTCGTCCTGACATAAATTGGGCCACTCTTTTTTTTCATAAGTGTCGTAAGAGGCGACATAGGGAAGTTAGTTATCGAGGGATGGGCAGCAACGTCCTTCTTAAAACATAAGCCAAAGCCGAACTGCGGTTTCCAACCCATCTATCAAGCGTGGCAATTACTGGTAGAACTTCCCTTGTAGAGAAGGTGTGGACAGTTAACGGCCGATATAATAATAATAGTTCTAATTTAACACCTGAACGCGCCGTGAAACTATTGGAAACTTAAAATATTTTATTATTATTCAGTCCACGTTTCTTTAGTCACAATGATAAGTTTCAGAAATAGTGTTAACTGTTCAAGAATGCTAACAATTTCAATTTCACCCTGTGTATTGTATTTAGTGATATATAAAGTACACCTTTATCGCTAAATTAAATACAACTGTAATTAAATATAATATTATTTATATAAAACAGATAAAGTATTCCGGTATAAATAAAAACAAATCCTTTCTTTCAAATAAGTATATGTACTCTTACAATATATAAAGTGCTAGTTTTATCAATTCTTTAAACTTATACCTTACATTCACTTTATAATTATTTATCTGAGCGTAAATTCTACATTTAAATTTAGTATACTTTTAAAATTTCAAATAGTTTATTTTTTATTAGGAACACTGTAAGTTTATAAAATCACTTTCACACACTAATTTCCCTATGGAATGAAATGACCTAAGGAAATTTGATGATATTACATGTGAAACATCGCCTATGTAAACTAATGTTACCTAGATATTCCTAATCGAATAGTACTCATAATCTTGAATGCAGTATCGCATAAATTTAAAACCTTTATGTTTAAATCGATCTCGTGAACGCGCAGTTTATGTAAAAAGAACAATTTTTTTTTATTTTTGATTGAATATACTACAAGTATGTTAATTATAAAGTGCGAAAATACCCGGAAAACTAACTACAAAGAACGAGTTAGTTTGTCCGTGTATTTACTAGTGGCTAAACGTAATAGCGAACCTCATTCTCACCTATCATCATTGACTGATGTCCCGCCAGCGTATACCAATAGTGTAGATTGGTGATATTATTTCAATAATTACCAAAATTTTACTTACAAAATTTTTATTAACGGATCATCCATTAGCAAAGATTTAAAAATAGATAAAATATATCTATTGTGCTAATAAATAAAAATAAAATAGTAATCCTGCCTGTGCAAGAACTCAAATCTGTTAGCCCGTCTGCGTCGTGACGAATTGAACCGCATTGCGTCAATTTTAATCTTGTACCCTTGACACTACAAGTAGACCTATTTAATAATTATTTTGTCAAAGTCATTAATAATTTAATATAGATAAGAGCATAATTTATGAGCTTATTAATACATACACATTGAATAATGATAGAAATGATCGAACTCGTCAGAACTCGAAGCCCATCTGTGCAGAAACATTTAACAATGAAACGCAATAATACGCATGAATAAATATTAATATAAAGACAATTAGCAGCTCATATTACAGTATTCTAATTTGTTCTGAGAAAGAAGCTAGTAGGTGCTTATTTAAATAATTAAACTAATTTAATGACTTTCGATTGTTTCGAAACTACAATTTAATATGTATATTTTTTACACCTTTTCGATGCTACTAGCATAGAGCTACTAAAAATGAAGATTTTTTTTAATTAAGCTGATATATGAAAATGAGATTATGTAAAGATTTTACTTGGTCTTAGTAAATTGAGAAAAGTTTTTGTTTGGTGTTAACCTCAGATTTGGTTCATCTGCTTATCAAATTCGTTTTAATCTGTAGATACAGCTGTTTAAGCATAATTAATTAATTAGTATCCAAATATACTATAAACTTTCGCTTTCACGATATTGCTAGTCTTTACCTTCGACTTTAGTTGCGATTCTTAGTTTATGACAACTACTCTATTTATCGGTTCCACAACTATCGTATCTTTCAAGCTGGGACTAACCATATACATTATCAAAATTGTACTAAAATCGATTAAACGGTTTCGGAGATTAACGTAGTAGATTGATTACTATAAATAATGTGTCTGTCACTACATTTCTACATGCAAGATAATGTTAATAGATTAGTATAAAATATGGTTATTGATAAAAAAGATTTGTCAGTTGTTCATCGGTTGCGGTTACATTTTAAATAATAATAACAGTTAATACTTAGATCTTCATCATTACCTTGCCTTTTCCTATTTATTTGAAATCGGCACAGTATGTTTTCTCCTTCCACGAGACATTATCAGTCATCATACCTGGGCTCACTCCTCTTTTAAATATATAGTCTTGTACACATTCCATCCATTTTTTGATCATCCTCTTTTTTATATCTATGCACTTAAAACATGACTTTCATACGTAATGCTTAAGTTACTGACAGTAAATCCTTTTAGATAAAATAAAATAATTCCTAATCGGTTTATAGCTGACGAAGTTATGAGGTAACGAACATAAAAAATACTGAATTTAGAAACTTCTCCATTTTTGAAGATGGTTGAAAATACAGTAAATCTTACTGGACAAAAGTTATTAAAGTAAAATTCTTTCCAATTTTCAGTGGCCTCGACATCTCAATATCAAAACAAATGTTATACTTGCTGCATCTACTGGCTAGACAAGGGCGGACAGTGGTAATCACCATGCACCAGCCATCTGCCACTCTGTTACGTATGGTGGATCGGCTGTACACAGTGGTGGGGGGCAGATGTGCCTACACAGGTTCAGTGGACTGCCTGATACCGTATTTAAAACAAATGAATCTAATATGCCCACCATATCATAATCCTGTGGATTTTCGTAAGTATATTTTTAATACATGATAAGTATATTTTTAAATGAAAAAAGTTACGTATAACTATATAAAATTCCTAAGAACTCTGTAATAATGAAAAATATCATTAACCAACCAAATGAATCCCAGAGACTTAGTATTTGCAAAATAAAACCCCAATAAAAATGCTCTTCTAACAACAATAGTCCCGATGAGTTGCTTGACGCGGAAAATAGAGTCCAATTTACATTGCTGTTCTAACTTCGAAGACCATTGTGTAAGTGTCTAATACCTTTGGAAATGATAAGACACCTGCCTGTCTACGTAAGCAGATAGTATTTATAATAGATAACCTTATCTAAATAGCTAGCTACGAGTAGTATGTTATCTAATATGTCAGTCAGGTCACCATTTGTTCACATCTTGTTTCAGTCATCGAAATATGTGCAGAGAATGCTAACCAATTAGTAAATTCTTCGCAAAATGGAAAAAATGAAGAATGGAATGTTACTAACGAGACTGATAATAGATTTAAAGGTATATTATTCATATTAAAAATTTATAAACTATCTTACTTACCAAACGCAAACAAATAACCACTGTACTCGATTAATCAAAAATTCAACAATCACTACTCTCTTATCTGTATTTGGAATAAATAATATTTATAAATACTATTAACTTTTATATTTGTATATAAATAATATGTAATAATTAAAGAAATAAATGTACCTAAAATGTATTTATTTCTTTACTTATTATGTTGCATGCTGTATTCATATGCGAGTACCTAATTTTACATTTAGAAACAAATTTAAGACAACTTTTTCATTGTTAGGAATAGATTTGATTATTTGCTATAACTATTCTCAGATCAATTATTAAAATTTGTAATAATTAAAAACTACCGATACGTAAACTTTAAAACGTACAATATTTTTCAGAATCCGTAAGAAGCGGTGAGGTGTTCCTGACTACATTGCCTTCACCAAAGGAAGATCCCACCAACAAAATACTATTAGCTTTAAAAAGTACATATTCAACGTCATATTGGAAACAATTCACTACATTAACAAGAAGATCTATTTTGGTAAAATATCAGAATTAATATATTTTTTAATACATGAATACGAACTGATTCACTAGCTAATGATGTACAATGGCAGGACACCAGAGGATGATAGGATTGGGACGAAATCAGATCAATTGACCCGACATAATAAATTAATCACAACAGTTTCCAAAGTTTCTTAACAAAGTAAATTATAAACAATGAGAACGCAAATTTTTCCCTAAAATGATAATTTGAATTTATTTTACAATATTTAATCAGACAGATCTTTATTAGATTTCTTTAACAAAAACCTAACTGTAGTTTTCAACCCGCTTACTAAACGTGGCATTTATTGACAAAATCAAAATTCTGGGGGAAGCCTATGTTCAGAGAAATAACTAACTTATATGATAATAAAGGCTTAAATTTACTATATACCGCTGCACTTTTCTAATATCCAGTCAAAATTTAATCATGATTAAATGCATTAAAAGCATTTATAATAAATCAATAATTATAATTATGAATAAATGTACATAGTTCTTTAGATAAGCAAGCAACTATATGTTTAGAGGTATTAATCTACGGTTCTGGAAACATAGTCTAATAACGAAGTGAAACATTACGAATTTTAAATAAGATCAGTCGTGGATATACATCTATCACTGATAATTTGGAATTTCATTATAAAATAATATTCATAATATAAAATACAGCCAGATTTCTTATAGAAAATCATTTTCCTATTTGTTACTATAACTAAGCAATAAAATCTACCTATCGTCCGCTTAGAGACAATGACATAATGAAATACTTTTAAAAAAACTTTATGCAACTTATACAGACAATGAAATATAATATTATAACACTATTGTCTATAGATTCTGTACTAATCCTCATCCTTACTAATATTATAAAATTGAAAGTATGTTTGTTTATTACTATTTAATATAGTACGCGTACGAGTACTATATGGGATGGAGAAGGATATAGACTACTTTTTATCCTATTCAGTAAACGTATCTTGGTTACGCGAACGAAGTCGCGAGTTAAAGCTAGTATTATATGTGAACTGTGATAGTTTAAATTTAATACATTGACAATTCTTTGACGTACAGCTCATACATTTCTGTTATTTTTACGAAAAATATATATATTTTAACTCATTATTTTTCAGTCTATATGGCGAAACCCAGCCTTCACAATCATAATCACTGGAATCCATTGCTCGATGGCGTTATTTGTAGGTTTGCTCTTCTATAATATTGGTGGTGATGCCAAATACATAAGGGATAACTTCAGCATGCTCAACTACTGCCTCATGTTCCTTATGTTCACTGCCTTCAGTGCTGTTACTATTACTTGTAAGTTCACGATAACGATGTATTTCAAATTTTCTCTCGCTTATTATTTATAATCTCGATAATGGCATCAAAATTTAATAATTATTATATAACGATTTAATTTTATCCAATAATAAAAAAGAATATTAACCCTACATCAAATAGAGCGATAATCTCCAAGGAACTACAGAGTGAATGGATGCAAGTCTTTCAGGACTACTTGTAGTCCCTTTGTTCTATGTTTATCAGATGGCTATTGTTTAATAATTGGATTTTATTATAATGATGGGTATAATAATGTATTTACATACGATATATTTTTAATATGAAAGAATTTTCTGATGGAGATTTGATTTATTTATTAAATCAACTATGTGATTACAATATGCAAATATTTTTTCAAAAATATTTTTTGTCACTTTCAGTTCCTTTGCAAATACCAGTGATTAGAAGAGAGCATTTTAACCGCTGGTACTCAACAAGTACATATTTCATTTCTACATTGATATCAACATTGCCTACTCAGACAGTATGCACGCTCACCTACGCATGTATCGCATACTGGCTCACAGGCCAGCCGGCAGAGTCGAAGAGGTTCCTCACTTTCTGCTTGACACTTTTAATGGTGTCGTATGTTGCTGTTTGCATTGGTTTGCTCAACGGTGCCCTGTTTAATGTAAAGGTAAATGTTCGAACACAAACGAGTTTGTTCAATTTGTTTTTCTTGTCTCTCTCTTTGCCTACATACGATCTCCCATAATTTTCTCATTATTCTACTGTAAGCCAGGGTCTACAGCTGCAAACCCATTAACGGAATGCCTGGTGAAGCTTATATTACTCGTAATCTTAAACTTATATAATACGATATTATAATGTTATAACAAATTTAAATAAAAAAAAAACTAGTCAAACCATAATATCTTGCACGCATACATTTTAATGTAAAGAAAACAAAAGTTATGATTTTTGAAAAAGCAATTTCAGAACTACTACATAAAATTTTGTACCTTGTGGCTGTGGATTATGCAAAGATAAAAATTATAGCCTGTATACAACTTCATAATTATTTACACGCTATACGTAAACTAAAATCACTTAGGTATGTAAAAAAAGATTGAAAGTAGAATAAATGGTCGCGTACAATGAAGTTTCAAAGGAATTTTCTCCCGCGAATTTGCGAATCGGCGCCTGCCGAGGTTTTCCCTAGAGACTACAGTGTGGGATTCTTCAAAAAGGATATATTAAGGTTTCTTCAAGGTAGGCACCGCACGTGACACCCATAGTATTGCAGGCGTTCTTAGGCTACAGTGATCGTTTACCATTAGACGATATGTATGTTCATTTGCTACCTTTGTGGTATAAAAAAAATGCAATAACAATGAGAGCACTGCGAAAAACTTGCAGAATAAAGCTCGTAGACCGCATTCCGGTAAGTATAAATGTGGATTGGTTTAAAAAATTTGAAAAAAACAGATAAAAACTAGTAGACTATGATTGGAGATTAGTTTAAAGATGTTGATGTCCCCTTCGGCGATTAGCTGATAATATTTATATCTCATTTCAGAATGGTGTAGTCGTCGGCCCGTTCTTCATAATGCCGTTCACCATCTTCTCTGGTTTCTTTCTCCGATACAGTGATGCACCATTTTTCTTTAGATGGCTATTCAGTATTTCATTTCTAAAACATGGTTTAGTAGGTTTAGTATTTGCGATATTAGGAATGGATCGACCAAAACTCCCATGCTCTGATGTCTACTGTCATTATACCTCACCGAAACAATTCATAACAGATATGGAACTAGTTACAGACAACTTCACATTTGTAGCAGTACCATTGTTTTGTATCGGATTATTTGTTTTTATATGTTCATATTTTATATTAAGAATTCGGCTCAGGAATAAATGGTAAGTTTGTGTATTAACTTACCATAAAATACAAAAGTAGATATGTACGAAACAAATTCTTGTGACAATTTAATAGTATATATTTTTTTGTATTTAGAATATAAGTAGTTAGTGTAATATAGTATAATTGGTGACACTTATTTCAGAAGATAATTGGAAGGCAAAAGTCAATTAAGCCAGTGTATAAAACTGTTAATAAAAATATGGTAGATACCAAATTGGTACAAGTTTATTTTCTTATATTAATCTTAAATTTATCTAATTTTTACAAATAAAGTTTATTAATAGCAAAACTGAAGTTAATATTATTTATATGAATAAAACCAAAACGCTTTGTTTTAACAAGCTAGTCGAATTGTCATTACATATATTTGTAACTAAAACAAAGTCCATATTCTAAGATAAATTAGTCATAAATCAGTTAGGTTGAGGAATTTTTTTATTTTATAAATTTTAATTAACGTACTTATTTTTAGTAATGTTACATTCCATATTTAAAAAGCAGAAAAAAAAATTTGGTGTTAAGTCTGCCAAATGTGCGTAGAATTTTTTTGTGCATTAAAGTTTAAATAAATAAAACCATTTTGTATTTAAATGTCAAAAACAAAATTAGGGTTTTAGAGTCAAAATTTTCATATGCTGGTAAAAATGACGTTTACGCAATATGCAACATTTGCAATCCAATTAAAATTTGTATTCGATATGTAAACCTTCTGTATTTGTCGCAAGGCTCAACTTAGATAAATAAGTCTCAGATCTAAATTAAATATTTTTATATTATTTATTTAGAAATAATATTTCGCTCATGCCCATGTCAGATATATTGTCCTTATCAAACTTCATAATCTTGGATATTTCACGATCACTGCTGTCTACATATTCAGATTTTATTAAAAAATATCATACTCAATCTTATGTGTATCAATAGTCGAACTCTCTTAATTGAACTGTAATATATTTTTCATTTGTAAAAATGCCAAAAGTACACTACGTACGTGCTTAGCATTAATCTGTGATGTAGAACATTATACAGTAATTTTAAGTATAATAAATAAAAGAAAAATAGCAAACCGTCTGGGTGACATGGTAATAAAAAGCTAATATATATAACGGGAGGTACCTCTACGTAGCAATAGGACGGTGATGATAATGATGATAAAGGACGATTAAAATCTTTGAAATCCGTCTGATGACTGTGATATCCCTACTATGGCTTACTAACTCAATCAGTTTTCACTTTAAGATAATTCAGAAATTTTTATACGTCCTTGAGTATAAATTATTTCAATAGTCAATAGAATAATAGCATATTATTATATAATAAATAACACGAAATGTTGAAAATAAATTATAATATACTGTGTATAGTTTCCAAATTAATTTTGAAATATAAACATCGAATAAGCTTTGTCATTAATATTAAAACATACGGAGTCAATCAATAAGTATTTATTCGTGTAGTGATTACATAATGTTACCACATTTTAGATGAATAGTAAAACCGTTGCATTACTGTTGTTTATCTACTCATTTCCCAATAAATGACTGTCGAGAATTTTTTTTTTTGTTCAAAATATAATAAAAACATAATATTGACAACAGCACATTGATAATGTGTGAATCTTTTTTTTTATAAAAATATTAAAATTATATAAAAATCTAATACTAATTCAATACGTATGAATAGTAGATATTGTATTATTCGAATTATTGTACAAAAATAAACTCTCGGGTAAAGATTTTCGAATAAAAAAAAATTATCATACCTAGTCGATAGATACGTTTGAAATTTTTACATCTTGAATGTAAAGGGATAGATACTAGAATTATTACTTTGTTATCAATTGCATTTTTTTCCTAATATAACAATTTATTTTAAATTTTATTTAATTTGATCTATATCTACAGGTAATGAGTTTGTAATGTGATATGACAAAGGGCAATGCACCATTGTCACTATTGCAACATTGAGTAAAATTGATGCTAGATTAATAAGATATCCGATTCGAATCCTAATAATGATCCTAGATGACAACAATTATGAAATAAACATATTATATGGGTAGACATTATATGGATACATATTATATAAGAACTGTATAAAGTTGTCATGTTTATTTTTTACTTAAAGTTGCTACTCAAATAGCTTGTACTATACTTCAACGGTGTAAGTAGCGTTAAGTTTTTAAAATCTATTGTGTATTACAAATATGTGGTTCATATAATGGTAAATAATTATATCTGCCTATTAGGATACTAGAAAAATGTAGACAGTGTATATTAAATAATCAATAAATAATAACTTTATAGTACAAATTGTATCAACTATCCACTCACAAATGTGAAATCTTAAAAAAATATAATATATTTTTAATTATTGGGCGCGATTCTGAGACACTATTTCGCTAAACTTATCTCTTGACCTTATATTTTAATTTGATTGTTTTGCAAAATTACTGTTATGTAAAATTATCAAGTTTAAATGTTAGAGATAAATTAAAAGAAATGATACCTCAGAACTGGCCCCATTATATACTTAGTCGGTTCTCATTTATAGTCAGCAATGACTTTTACTTTTTTTTATCGCAGTCTTGCCATACGTTTACTTTATACTGTTGATACATTCCGTAATACTACATGTATTATTGTATAGCATAGCTTAAGTAATGGTGCATGTATTTTTTACCTACCTATACGTTGTGAAGGAAGAATATTTATATTATAATTGTAATAAAAATTATGACTTTTTTGTTTCTTTACGATATTTTGTTTTCATTTTTATAACTAAAATTAAATTTCAATAAAAAAAATAAAATCATTAAAAAAAAAGTGGAAAACTTTGTAAAAAAAATGTTCTACATAGATTCACAAAATTCCGTTCCACAAATATTTCTGCCATAAAGCAGTAGTGTCTATATGCCAATATTTTAGTTTTTAGGAATGGTATATAATATTTAAATGACAGGGTATGGAGACATAATACCTTCATCCTTATAAATGGTGGTTCTTATACACGTTTAGTGGATCTTAAGAGAATACCTTCTCGGATGCTACTATATTCTCAAATATATTGAAACATCAAGTTCAATCAAATATGAATGATTTGTATAAATGCGTGTAACGCAGCGCCATCTAGTCATGTACAATTTACCTTTTTAATTGCATCCAATCAAAGATGTACCAAATTTTTTTTTTACAACACAGGGGTCAAATAAGCAAGCGGCTTACGAGGTCAATATTAAAATACTGCCTGGTTCCCGCAGCTTTACCTTCGTGGATCAGTACATAAAATATCCTATATATTAAATTGAGATATAACCATGTACCAGATTTGTTTAACGCTTTAATTGCTGAAACTAACTGATAAAAACAACATTTTAAATCTTAAGCGTTATTAAATAGCAAACATATAAACATCCAAAAAAACATCCTTACAAACTTTCACATTTATAAAATTTATACTACTTTGGTGACAAACAAGCAAACATGCGGCCCGTCTGATGGAGTTATTAAACGGAATTATCGTAGCTTGTTGACACTTGTAACACCAGGGATGTGACGAACGCGTTGCCGACGATAGCAAGTAAGATTTTAAATGTAGGTAATTATCTAGGTGCTTTCATTTAATCTTCCTGTAGAATAAAGTAACAAATCATTTGTGTATTATCTGTAATCAGTATTTAAATAAAATATTATAATCTGGAAATAATCTTACTCGATTATATCTATAATACATGCAATGAGTAACCTTAGTGAATAACATACCTTCATTCCACGTTTGTCACAGGCAAATTAAAAAAATATATGGAATTAAAAAACTAATTTCAATTCTTCGGATATATTATATTTTTTTGCTTTTTTGTTTTTAGAATCCTTAGAGTTTACTATCGTGTTAGTTCCTTATTAATTTTGTGACGAATGATGCTGTTATTTTTAATCAAAAAGCAAAAATCTGTATTCATATTGCTAAGCAAAGCCTACTTAGTGTGTGTAAAACGATACTGCGTTCTAAATTCAAATATTTTGTAGAAAGCAAAATGTACGTGTACAAACTTCACTTACGAAAGTTTCAAAGTGTCTCTAGTATTGATAATAACGTAAACAATAAATATAAATAAATAAAAGTATAATTTGTGCGACAAAAGTCATAAATAAAAGATATTATTTCTATAAAAAATGTTTTTCGCAGACTTTTATGTTTTACTTTAAATAATATACGAGTTTGTATAATATTGAAACAAAATACAGTTTTTTTAATATAGTATATTCTATTTAAATTCCGATATTCACTAGACAACTTTATCAAGTTATTTTTAAATAACCTTATCAAGTCCTATAACTTGTTAAAACGCTGACAAACAAATATTATCTAGTTATTTAGCTCTAGATTAATGTAGATTAAACAAACATTATCAAATTGTATTTTCAGTCACATACATGAATATATTTAGGTCCGTCTTTTAAAAATAATAGGAATTTACTAAATGTCAATTTATTAAAAGATTTAAAAGTACTTACCTACCTACCTGGCCTATGCCCTTTCGAAATTTATTATTATTGAATCATTATAAACAAGGTAAGAAACTCACTTTCACATTTGTAATATTATTAAAGATTACAGAAATAACTTAGTATTTTTTCCAGAATATTAAAAACACGTTAATAGTCCTTTTTGATTCGAAACCTATCAAAACAAGTTCAAGAATAACGTAGATATCGCTTAATACATGTACATACACAAAAAAAAATCTCTAAAATTCAGAGCCACCTTCTTTATTATGTTTATATATGTCTTACCGGCATAATAAAGGAAGCGATTCTCATTTTTAAAAACAAAATATTGCATCTGTAAAGCACTAGTGCTCCCCACACCACCTATGCAACTATGTGAAAGCTGGCTCAAGCCGGCCAATCGCATACAAGTAGTATCATGTAGATAGCAAACGAAGACGGTGCGCATACGCGTACGACAAGCAATTTTTCAATTCCGCGGTCGTAACAAACACCATCCGGTCTTATTCACGAAATAAACTTAGTATTTCATTGTTTGAAAATGGATGTGGAATCAGGAAAGGATGATTTGAGTGTTGAAGGGAAACTGGTCGTTTTCGTCGATATTGTGTGCAGGATCCAACAAAAGACATCAAGTGAGAAAAATAATTATATATATATATATTTATTAGCATTAATTAGAAAGTACATATACAGAGTTTGTCTATTCATTGAGTAAAGACTATAAATTTAATTCAAAAAGTGCAGTCATTTATAAATTGTATTTGTTGAATAAATTTAAAGAAATATTAGTCGAACTCCAAAATTGTAATTAATAATTGAATACCCAAATAGCAACAATTTTATATGGGCTAAAGACTTATTGATTTTCTGTCTATTTACACATTTTTTTTTCTTTTGCTAATTTCTTGAACGAACCCGTTCAATTAAATTATCATTACTAACAAAAATGTCAAACAATATTGATAAGAATAAAACATTTACCAAAAACTTATAAGATACTTAATGTGGTAAAATCCAACCTAAATAAGGTGCATGCTTAAGTATAATAAGCAAAAAAACTTGCTTACCTACATAACTTAAACAACCAAATAAGGTCGACAGCAATAACACCAACTCAAACGACTAATATTACCTAACTGAATAAATTAGGTGTGTATATATTTCTTTATTCATTTTTAAATTCTTAATTTAGTTTTTAAAAACTAAAAATAGACGTTTTGAGATTATAAATGCTATGGAATAACATTTCTAATAATACTTAAAAGAATATTTTAGAAAAGGGATGTATTATTCTTTTACTTTTTTAATCAAAATATGATGAAATGATTTATTGTGAAGTAAATAAAAAACTGATAATTAAATTAATATTATGCAAAGTTCCTATTTACTCATAATACATCTATAGCACTATTTCGCCCTCTCAACCGGTTCTCAATAACGAGCAAGAAACCTTTATTCGAATGGTACAGAAAAGCACACCATAACAAATTTAAAAAAAAAAAAACATTATCAAAATATTGACTTTATACCAATATGCATTTAATGTAGCTTTGGTAACTAGGACAACGAGACGACGACAAAAGATAAAACACACCAAATTTTCCGTCCTATTTTCACAAAAAAATGAGCAAACTGCATCCTATTTGATGCTGTAATTTTATAATTTTTGCATAATGCAAGACACACAGACAAAAATTATCGTTATATATATATATATATATATATATATATATATATATATATATATATATATTCATTAATGATTGAGGATGCATTGTACAAATATATATCTTACCATTTCTGACCTGTTACATACGTTATATTCAACATAAATAGTGTTACAGGCTGATAATGACCTGCTTGAGAACTAGTATTCCTTCTTTTTATGAAAATAATTAGATTAAAAAACAAACTAAAACAATATAATTTAACCGAATAAACAGTAAAAATATAATAATTTTATTAAAGAAAAATAATTGGAAGTAGCAGAAATGCAGAAATAGGTATATATATTTTACATTTTATTCATATTATTTTATATTGGCAAACGTTGCTTGATACCTACCGTCACCTACCATACCACATGATACATCATGATAAACCTCAAGCTTTGCTATTCTTAAGGACTATGGTATTATGCTTCCGTACCATGTAATTGCACGGAAATATCCATTTGTACAAACCATTTAAGATGTAAATTGACTTTTTATGTCTGTCTGTAGTCAACAGCCGTCGTGGCCGTGCCATTTTCATCAGGTCAGCCGTCAGCTTGTTTACCTTAACAAGCAGTTGCAATTTGTTATTGCTTGTTTACAATTACATTATCTTTATTTTCATTTTAGCAAATGCAATCATAATAATAAAAGATGGACCGCGACCTCGTAGACGTATAATTTATTGATCACGATTTGAATATTAAGTGGAAATTATAGACTTAGTATAACGCACTGACGTACTTATGTGGAAACACATATTTGGTATACATTCATATTTAAATACTTCTATATTACCTAGCATAATGTATTGTACATTATGCTGGGGGTTGATAGCAATGTTATGTATAGGTACTTAATATTACTACATGACTTTTATCTTCTCCACATATATATTATCTATGTCCAATAAATATTCAAATAAAGCAGTTCACTCAGATGTGACTCAGCTGACTAGATCAGCATCTGAATGAAATGCCCAATTATAGGCGAGTTATATTTCTCGCCTATTCCTTTTAGAATGGAATGAATTATTTTTAAGATTTTTTTACTTTAATCCAAAAATAACGTTTCAAAAATGACCTTTAATGAGATGAAGCCACGTCATTTCAAGCCTTAAGACGCTAAGACGTGATAAAATAAACTCACAATCAAATTCGTAATAATACAGTAAAGATGTTACGATTAAATTACCATTAAAGTAATCGCAATATTTACCAACATTACGATAAGATCTTTATGAACATTATTTACTATCCGTTGCCGTTGGTATTGAAACCAGTATTTTCACCCCTATGACAATTTAGAAAAATCCTTATCATAGTGGATATTTACATCCCTAGAGTTCTAATAAATATAACCTACGTCTACAGAACTAAAAAAATCCTAAACAACTAATAAATCTAACGTAACCTTTACGTTGTGTGCAATTTCAAACAATCAAGCTATATCTTACCAGCTTACCATGTGAGACTTTGTACAAAAGTCGTTTGCTTGGGTACCTCTGTCCCATTCGTGTTTCAACCGTGAAGCAGTTGTGTTTGCATGGCTTTGTTTCGGTTTGAAGAGTGGGATATGGCGTGAATTTATAAGGTACAGAGAAATAACACCTGAGTCCTCAGGAATGGCAACGCATGGGGAGTATCATGGGCGAAACAGTATACTCTGTTATGTCTATGGTACTGCTCATGTCTATAGGCGACGGTTACCACTTTCCATCAGGTGGGCCGACAGCTTGTTTGCCATTCTAAGTAGTATAAAAAAAAACTTAGTTTTTACCCATGACTTTGTCCGCGTAATCGGGATATATTGACCACATCAAGTAATAAATATATCTATACATCAAACATGACGATTTGTTGAACCATTAAAATGCCAAGCGGTAACAAGCAAACTCGCTTTCACATTTATTATGTCAGTAAAATATTTGTTTGAGTAATTCTAATAAAATAAACACAAATACCTATTCCATTAGAAAATTACGTTGCAATCAGTCAATTAGCATAACTTAACAAAATAATTAATGTTAATAAGATTAATTATTCCACAAAATAACGTCTAGTTCAGTTAAATATTGTATAACTGAACGAACTTATTTAACGTACTCGTGTATACTCGTATATGTACGGGGGTTAATTTAAAAGTGTGTTAAATAAAGTGTTATAATTATATGTAAACTGTGCACACTATAATAAATCGACTGTGTCATTATCTATCTAATGGTTGGACCATATAGACCGATATGCCAGTTAGTATGTCGCATTCGATGCGTTCAAAACCACATACAGTAATTAGGTGATAAAAAAAATTGTTATCATATAAAATACAAGTGTCTCCGTTAAATAGTCGATACTGATTTCTATGGATATTAAACTACAATTAGAACAAGAACATCTAAAGGAAAATGGATATACATTATTTCATAATGTCAGTTACAAGGTACCAAGTTATGGTATGTAAAAATTATTAATGTTGTTTTAATGTTTTGGTTAATTCAGGTTAGTTCGACTGGAAAGAGGAGGATGATGATTATTTTAGGACCAAAAAAAATTAAATTATATAATATTAAAATGAAATCTATTATAACATCACTGTGTACATTTTTATAGCACAGGAAAAATAAAAAGCAAGTATCAAAGAGATATATTTAAGGATACAAAAGGAAAAAATCAGTTTTTCTAACATTATTCAAAAACTGCTAAACCAATTAAAAAAAATTAAAGAAGATATTGTAGCTAAAGTAATTCTGTATATTCTGGTACTTCTTTCAACATTCTAGGTGATTTATAATAATTAATTCAACCTAAATTAGTTAATTAATTAAAAAATATGTTATATTTAAAAATATTTATTTAAAATTAACAGATTTTAAAATTTTCGTTTATAAAACATTTATATTCTATTATTTAGCGCACTAAATTAAATTAAACAAATCTTATCAAAAAAATAATTCTACATACGCATACATACATATTTATTTATTCTTTATTGACCACATTACAGCAAATGTTTGGCGCCAATAACAAAAGGCGGACTTATATCTACCTGTCATGCCTGTCTCTCATTAGAGTAGACAAGAAACTACGGAACGCCAAATGCTCCGATTAAAAAAATAAAAAAATGAAGCAAAAATTTACATAAAATTTTATTCTATATTACAAATATAAAAATATAACGCAGTTAATTGAAATATAAAGAAAGTACCTAATTATCTCTATAAATTTGAATCTAGAAACAAAAAACGCATGTTCGTTTGGCCCCTCTGTTATAAAAAAATAAATACCTAATCATAAGTTTTTTTTATACAACTTAGAATAGCAAACAAGCTGAAGGCCCACCTGATAGAAAGAGGTTTAAACCAAAACACAGCCATGCAACCATAGCAACTTCAATACACAATATACAAAACATAAAGGAATACATATGCCCAACAGACGACTTTTGTATGTACATAGTCGGTCTGTACAAAGTCTTCCTCTGCTTAAAGGTTAGTTTAAACATCAATAAAGATGATAAAACAGTATTGGTGAACTGTCGTCCGATTTCACTTCTAGGCCACAACGTAACAATTAAGATAACAAATATGGTATTATGGCTTTATGTCCGAATCGTAGTTATAACATATTGTCCAACTTATGGGAACTTACTAGATTATCAGAACAATTAGTACCGTACCTTTTAAATGATACAAAATAGGTATTGTATGCATCTAATGTAATTTAATAAAATACAATAATGCCACAAAATATTTACAAAAACGAAACATAACTAATGGCAAGAAATACTTATTGGTTGGTAAAGCAACTTGTAATTGCTTAATATTCATAAGGTAAATTTAATGCTATATTTATACATATCATTAATATATGTATATTTAATTATTTAGCTATTAATAATTATTTATATACCTATACCTAACAGAGTAACCGGGGGGGAAAGGGATTATTAGTAATGGGGTCTAATAACCCCATTACTGGCAATATACCCTCTCAGGTTGACCTCCACGCTGGAAACCATCATGTTTAATTCTTGTCGAATTCATCATGGTGGGCCAACTAACCTGCATTCATTCTCACCTATCATCTTCCACTGGTGCCTCGTCGGTACATACCAAAATACACCGACGAGGCACCAGTGGAACGCGGGCGGGGTTACCAATCCATTTTCACCCATTAAAAATATAACAGAGTAACCGTAATGCCCGTTGGTATCAGGTGATTTAAAAATATGTATAAATTTTAATAAATGTTTATATGTTTGTTAATTATTTGAATTTCACAACAGCTGCGTATTGGCTATTCTATAATATGTTTTAATAATCAAATTTTTTTATCAGAATTTGCTCAGTAAAAATCTAATTTAAATTTTCACTAGTAATCTATATCTGCTACAAGACAAAGTCCTGACAGACTCATTAACGGACAGTCGAATGTATTAAAGTTAGAATTACAAAATTTTGACAGTAAGTACCTTTTATGACCTACACAAATAATGAGAAAGGATTTTTCGAAATTCAGCCTTTAGGGGTATATAAAATAAAATATATTTAATAAAAAAAAAAACTAAAATAAAAATTTGATCGAAATTCCGGGTGTAAATTAAGGTATAAAAATGAATATGGTATTAAAATTGATTACATTAAATCAATTAAATCGGTCTAAATATACCTAATTATGTACTCGTACTTACCATACATATTAATTCTTATCCTCATCACAAAAATGAAATATGGTACATAGATCAGAAAGGAAAGTTTTAGTTACATTAGTAAGAGAATCATTAAAATATAATTGGTTGATTTTTAATAATTAAGATATCATACCATTATCATTACCAAATTTTTATTAAAGACTTAGTAATAAAGGTTTTTACAAACAGAGAAATTTAAAAAGTTGTCCTGGAATTTAGACATACATTATATTTTTCTATACACTTTCTACCTAACTGACGATACAAGTGATTTGGTTTTTGTGTTGTTCATTATGTTTTTCAAGTTACATATGTCAAAAGTACACACACATGTCAAAGAGCAAAAGAAAAGTCGCGTACTCTCCTATAATATATATAATATAAATCTCCTATAATATATTTATGTACACCTTATTGCACCATTTATAAAATAGTAGACACATTTAACTGTAATAAGAAATGATACAAAAGGCGGCCTTATCGCTAAGCAATCTCTTCCAGACAACCTTTGGGTAGAGAACATTGAGAAAATAAAGAAAAATAAAGGGTAGGTGGCGCACTATTATATTAGTACTATTATATATAAACAAATATATACAAAGATATATACATATATATGTATATACATATATATACATAAACAAATACATACATAAATAATAATATAAATATTGTATTAGTTGATCTAATAACTTTTCTTAAATTTAGAAAACAATTACAAACAATTGAATTAAGTATAAACAAGATAACGTGTGTCTGATCCGTACCTACGTCGTAGGCTTAATCTATGAGTTACATTATAGATACGTCTACAGTCGGCCAACTCAAAATAATTGATATTATCAGAAATATTAGTAATTACATTTATATCAAAAAAACATATTTTATTATAGTGTGGTATTTATTACCTGTGTTATGAATAATTAATGTTCTATATTTAAATATATTGATATTAAAATTATCCAATACATATATAAGCGTAAGTGACATCAATTATATATATATATATATATATATATATATATATATATATATATATATATATATATATATATATATATATATATAAAATTTATTTGTCGCCAGCGGGAATCAATTATGTAGCTCAAAATAAATATAGTAGGTAATACTTTGTTGTGTTTGACCTCTGCACTTTTTACATATTTCATCTGTCATTTTATTCACTGTATCAAAATGAAGATACGAAAGGTCACAATACATATGGCGGACACTGTATGTATATACCTACATCGTTATCGCTGTAATAATTTACTAAAAATATTTTTGTTATAGGTACTCGCTACTTAGGTCAACTTATAAAATATTTGATTGTCAACTGAAATAAATTGTCCCTAATGAGAATGACCCATTGCTAACAATATACCCTATCAGGTCAACGCACAACGGCCCAAATGAGAGGCTAAGTGCGGAAAACAGAGTCTTTCTTACATTACATTCTTACCCTATCAGGTCGACCTCCACGCGGTTTACCCTGGAAACCATCTTGATTAGTTTTTGTGGAATTCATCACGATAGGCTAACTGGCCTGTTTTCATTGTCACGTACCATCTCTCACTAGTGCTCCGCCAATGTATACCGATAGCGCAAGCCTACCATTTCATTTTCACCCATTAAAAAAAATAGTACATACGAGAACTGTCAATATATTTTCGTCAGTCATTTTCAATATATTTCAATCGAAAATTGACACCAACGGAGTTAAATAAACGGCCTAATGAGCGATGTGTTTTCGATTTGATCCCAATTTGATTTCATCTTAATAGTAAATAAATAGCTGTTAGTATCGTTTTAATTACTTAATAATGGTACCAATCGAAAAAGGTTTCACGCCATACAAGTTACACAAATTTAGAGGATATGCAGTTCATCACTTTATTTTTTTAAATATTAGCTATATTATCAGCTACATTAACAGCTAAATCAGGTAAAGTTAAACTTTAAACATGTATTTCATATTCTCTTAAACCAATTATGTTTTTGTTCATATATTCACCACTACTGGTCAGAATCTAATTCTATTTTTAAAGTTTATAGGTAGCGCAAAATTATAATCAGACGTAATTATCTTTTTCTTATTAGAAAAATAATAGTGAAATATACATATATTTACACAATATAACTACTGCTCCAATTAAAAATATTGTATTCTTAACCATAACGTTAATATTTATTACTGGAAGTAAAAATTTAAAATTCAAAAATGAAGAATTAATAAATAAATATTTATTAAACTTTGTGTGATTTATACACTAAAAATCGAATGTAAGTTACATTATAAAAGTGATTAAAAAAAGAATAAAATTCAAAAAGTGTAAAATAAGTTAACAATAATTAAAAATATATAAATAGTGTAACAAGGTCAACAACTATTAATAACAATAATTAATAATTGCTCGAATGGAACAAAACAATAATTACTAGTTATGAATAATAAATAAACAATATCTTCAGGTGTTATCTTAGGTACTGGGTATTCCATATTATTTTAATAATCTAGGTACTTTGAAACTTTATAATTGACATTTATAGACCTGTACATGTCTAGTCTATAATTATCTACCTGCCCCATGGTCAACTGGTAGGGTTTTTAAGTGTAATATATGTATAGGCTGTTATAAAAATATTAACATCTAAGACTGGGGGAAAGGATTGTTAGAAATGGAGTTTGACAGCCCCATTGCTAGAAATATGCCTTATTAAGTCGACCTCCACGTGGTTCCCCCTGGAAACCATCGTGAACAATTCATGTTGAATTCGTCACGATGGGCTAACTGACCTACTTCATCCTCACCTATCATCCTTCACTAGTGCGCCGCCGGTGTATAGCGATAGCGCAGGCGGGGTTACCATACCATTATTACCCATTAAAAAAAATCTAAGACTAGCTGTCTCTTGCAGTATCCTATGTCCTACGTTACCTTATAAAATTATGACCTGCCTGTGTATTAAATTTCATTCAAGTGTGTTTTATAGTTTTGCCTAAAAGGGTACAAAAACATCCATCCATCCATCTATTCATCCTGACAAACTTTCGCAAGAGTTAAAGTAAATATAGAACACAATACTTATCTTTAAATTTACTGGTGTAACTGTACCGGGAGGTACAGGTATTTTGTTACAGGTATTAGATGTTATATGCATGTGATAAATATAAAATCAACAACAAGTGTTGCATCATTAATAGATATAGACAAGCACATCTAATTCAAGATTCAACATAAATGATTGACAAACATATAATGTCTAGCTATATGACCTCCTTCACCTTTAAAATATTTTGTGCTGTCAATTAGCGCGTTAGATAGACATATTGTATGCAATTGTATGGAGACATTTTTGACTTTCCGCGATAATATCATAGACGTGCGCGGCATATAGATGCGTTTACAGAAATGCAAAAGCATAATAAATTATATAAAGTACAATTGCATATTGTTTTGTTACCTGCTATACCATCATAGATCTATTAAAGAGAGGCCGGGTAGGCTATGCTTATCCCTAAAATGTCTAGTGACCATCCCAGAGTTAGCAGCCGAACTTTTAGATAAGAGCAAAGACAATTTTTTTGAGTACGTATGTGCCTTTTTTTATGGAACTAGATCTCTTTGAAAGATAATTTTAAATACGCCAATGTATATCATACGTTATCATACTACGGTAAATTATTAAACTGTCCATTGGGAATTGGACTTTGCCGTAGAACGACATAATTTTTATCATCACGGTGCCTAAGCCATCATTATATCAGCCTTTAACTGTCCACTGTTGAAGACAGGCCTTTCCCATAATAGGAGTTTTACTAATAATCATCACGCTTGGCAAGCGGGTTGGCAACCGCAGTTAGATCATGTGATATTTTAAAAAGGACTCTCTCGCCCTACTCTCAACTATTGAGTTCCTTTAGTCGTCCCTCTTACGATGCTCACGGCAAAAAAAAGGGATGGCCCATTCTATGCCGAGACCACATAACGAATACACACATATAAAATATTCACCTATATTTAGCAGCGGACAGTTAACTGTTGATATGATGATGATGACGATGAATGTTTGTGTATATTTTATATATTTTACCTTCTTAACAGAAAAAATACAATGGATTAGAAGAAAGAAAGATCCTCAACAGTACTCCTGCATCTTGAACGAAGCATGCGGCGCCGTACGCCCCGGCCGTCTTACATTCATCTTAGGGCCATCAGGCGCAGGGAAAACTACTCTATTGAAAATATTAGCCGGACGAAAGTAAGTAGAATAGAATTATATGATAACTATGGCGTGAATTTCCTGGGTACAGAGGAATAACACCTGAGTCCTCAGGAATGGCAACGCATGGGGGTATCATGGGCGAAACAGTATACTCTGTTATGTTCATGGTACTGCTCATGTCTATAGGCGACGGTTACCACTTTCCATCAGGTGGGCCGTCAGCTTGTTTGCCATTCTAAGTTGTATATAAAAAAAAACTATGGCTATAATGTTACAAGTAATCTAAGTGATTAGCTATAGTTTCTAATGTCGGTATTTTGAAAAGTCTGCCATGCAGACCCTATTTTCTCAGTGTATTCTCTGATACTGTTCAAATCTATTGGTAATAGCTACCACTCTCCATCAGTTATTGTTCTAAGTGACATAAAAAAAAACAAAATTATATCAACTACAGCATGTATACATTAAGTCAAAATTTATTATAATAACTGTCAATATTGATATCTGTATGTAAATATGTTTTTATCAAAATAGATAGCCTAGTAAGAAAGTAGTATGAATGTATAATATATAATTAAGTACTTTATAGACACAATAATTATCTCGCGAAAAAGACTTTGCAATTTTTCCTCGTCTATCTATCATCTCTCGCTACTCCGTACCCCACCAGCGTATACCAATAGCGCAGGCAGGGTTACCATTCCATTTTCATATCATTTAAAAACCTACATAATGTAATGGGTATATATACCTATACTAGGTTAATGTTTCAGAAAAACAGGCGTAACAGGCTATTTGCACGGCGCAGGTCGCAACTCGGTGCTTGTAAGTCAGGATGCGACCCTACTGGATACGCTGACTGCAAAGGAGACGCTATTGTTTGCTTCCAGACTCAAATTGCCCAACGCTAGCAACCGCGAACGATCACATGCGGTATGTTCTATCATACATAACATAATACTTCACTAAGTTCTAATGACTATCATAAATAATAAGTTTAGAAATTTCCCTTCCTACAGCTACAGTTGACATGATTCAAATTTCTCTCAGTTTTCCATAACTTTATCAACTCATTGTTTAGGAATCCTCAATGCTTGGTTTAAAAATATTTTCAGAGAACCTTATTATGCCTTATTACAAGTTTGGCTCCAAATTCTTACATGTTCTCTTTTTAAATACCTACATATATACATGTAAATACATATAGATACTTAAACTAGAAATCATCTATATCTATGTAATGAATCTATCCGCACAAACATATACTGCAATTCCTTTATATTGTGACTATGTAAAGACGCCCAATAATGAAAACTGGATAGCTTAAATTTCCGACATAGATAGCTTTTATTTATATTGGATATACACCTCATTTAATTTAATATAGTATTCTTCTTGTCGCTCTTAGCTCGTTCCCACTATCGTAATGTGGAGTCGACTCTCCTATTTTTGCAACACCAGGAATTTCTGTTCTGTGTTATCGGGTTGATTAACTTATTTTTTACAAAAATTTTTACTAGTCACCAGGTAACAGGAAGTCGTCATCTGCCTCATTTTTTATTCAGGCAGTCGTAAAGATTTCCTGACCTCTACAAATTATGTAACCATACCAACATATCGTATGCATTATATTTATTATTAGCTATTTATCATATAAAAATATAACTCCTAAAATTATATTCCAAGTTAAATTTTATTTTTCAGATTAAAAATATAATTTATTAATTATATATTTAATCTTATTAATAATATATTATAAATTAATTATGGTATTAAGTCATATGTATATAATTAAACAATATTATTAATTTTTTTCCAGATATCAACAATATCATTACAGTTAGGTATACACGAGGCCCTGAATACTAGAGCTGGTAATCTCTCTGGTGGTGAAAGAAAAAGACTTAACATTGCTTGTGAATTACTAGCTGATCCCACTGTATTACTACTGGATGAACCTACCAGGTTAGTTAACATCTTACTGAAACAACCTGTACATAATAAGATAATAGATTAATAGATTTGTATTATACAAACACATGTGGTCCGTGTGGTCCCGGCATTGAATAGGCCATCCCTTCCCTTCTCGTGGGTGTCGTAATAGGTGACTAAGGAAGCGCGAGAGATGGGTAGCAGAGTCAGAGAGAGAGAGAGAAGATTGATATGATGATGACTTTACAAACAACGGTGACAGTTCATGTAACTAAACTACTTTCTACAAGAACTGTTGCGTATATATATATGCTGATTACAGTCAAAATAACCGTTACGTACCGTAAACATTATCGTTGAATTTCTTGCAGGTTCTTTTCAGCAGACATCAACTTAGCAGTATAATCACAAAAAAATTGACGGTTTAAAAGAGCTTATAAACAAGTATATTTGAATAAACTATTTCTATTCTATTCTAATTTTAAAAAGCGTTGTTCCAGTGGCTTGGACTCGGTATCATCCATGTCAGTGGCCAAGGCTCTCCTAGCCGTAGCACGCAGTGGTCGCACTGTAGCCTGTGTCATCCATCAACCATCCTCGCAGTTGTTTACGTCGGCAGATGACATCATTTTGCTGGCAAACGGCCGCACACTATACGCTGGATCTGTAACTAATGTACCTGAGACGCTAGCCAAAGCCGGCTTCGTTTGTCCACAATACTATAATATGGCTGATTACTGTAAGTAATAAACTTACGTCTTACCTCCAATAATATAATAAAAATATTGCACACCTCCAGGTGGAATATCAGTACCAGGTCTCAAATGAACTGAAAAAAAACTATACTATCCACTTTATTGTTTATTAAAAAAAGAGCATTAAGGGTCAAAAAACGAGTAAAAATAAAAGCTAAAATTATATCATATATTTTTTAAAAGAAAATAAAACGTAACTTTTGCATTACAAAGTTTACGTCGAATTATTTATTTTCGCATCCACTAAAGGAACAGCTAAGTTTTCATCACAAAATATTAATACATTATCTGTGCACTAGCATTCAGATTTGCAAATACTTTAAACACGGGTAAACAGTAGTAAATAATAAATAAGTTTAGAATTTTAATCCTAGATGGAGTAAACGTAAAACGGATACATAGTAATATGTATACTTTATATAATTACTATTTAATAAATATACCTACTCATAGCTGAATATCATAATGGGTAAGTATCTACACTAATAAAATCTTTCATATAGATAAGATAAATAATAATAAAATGTAATAAATTACAGTATAAAATAAATAGATTGAGATGATATACATAAATATTTTAAAGAACTTATAATTTGTCCAACTAACGCTTAGCAAAATAAATATACACTATTGAAATATAGTAATTACAAATCGAATTACAAGTTGCAGTAAATATACTTATTTTTCTTCTTGCAACACCTTATACTACTTATTTCATTTTTACAGTATTAGAAATAGCGAGCGGAGAATGTACTGGCAATTTATCATTGTTGGAAAATGAAGCTAAAAATTATACTTATGAAATGAAAACAATTGCTAAGAACGACGTTGAAGAAAAAACTGGAAAACGTAAGAATATTTCTATTCACAGATATATATATATATATATATATATATATATATATATATATATATATATATATATATATATATATATATATATATATATATATATATATTATAAATAGTAATAGTATTACAGTATAAGTAGATAATAATACTAAAATATGGACACTCGGTCGCCCGCTGCAAGCTGACCTCACCCCGTCTATTTTCCCGCGCTCATCGTAATTACAGATGCACACATTATCATATACTATATTCATTATCATATAAAGTGTCCGGGATATGATAGTATTACTGATAATATTACTACTATTGCTTTAATGAGGTCTACCAGTCACATTGCTAGCAATAAACCCTATCAGTTCGACCTCCGCGTGGTCCCCCCTAAAATCATCGTATTAAATTCTAGGTGTATTCATCTCGATTGGCTAACTGACCTGCTTTCATCTCCACCTATCATATCATACTAGTGTTCCGCGGTTTATATTACGACATATATATCTATATATATTATAAACTATTATTATATTTAACTCGGAAAAAAAAACTCAGTAAATATATAAGATAGACAATATGACAAAGATATGAAGGTTGTAGCATTAAAACATAGCGACAGAAGCAATGGAAAAAAAAACTAGTGTCCCGCCAGCGTATACCGTTAGCGCAGGTGGTCACCACTCCATTGTTATCCATTAAAAAATCTACTAGTTATATAATTATGGTGGTATACCTGCTAGTATGGTATATATATAGTATAGTATAGTATAGTATAGTAACACAGATAATACAATACTGTACTAGTACTATTAGTAGTTATAATACTATTACGTGTACCTTACTAATCGATACCTTCCTACAATGATCGTCGTTGAATTTCAATTCGACAAGATTATAGTATTTTTTTTTTACAATTAAAAAAAATATACTACAGATATAACGTAGATAAACAAATATCTTAATTTTCAGATAAAAATTGGTAATAACTATTTTACAGTAACGAGTACGGAAGCTGAAGCTCTTCTAAATTCAAAAATAAAAACATCACGCGAATATGCAGCGAGTGGATGTCAACAAATAAGAGCTCTTCTCTGGCGATGCTACATTGGAGCACTAAGAGATGTACACCTAACTCAAGTAGGTATCTAATACCACGTAATACTTATTAATACAAGAGAATACCGTAGTCTGTGGTAATACTGAGAAAATAAGACTAAGTATAATCTATACACGTTTAATGAATATTCAAGTCAATGTTTCAAGTATGTGTAGATGACAATATACAAAATTGCCTAAGTTTCAAAGAGATCGCAACACAATTGCAGGTAAATAGTATAGTATAGTCCATGATACTGCTCATGTCTATAGGCGACGGTTACCACTTTCCATCAGGTGGGCCGTCAGCTTGTTTGTCATTCTAAGTTGCATTTACTTTTGTAATTTTATTTTTTATCAAAGTCATGTCCAAGGCCCCTGTGAATTTTATTCAATTCATCCCTTCTAGTAGCACAATGGTACTATGGAACGTTGGTTAGTGGAGAAAAGGAGACTGGCCTATTTTCGCTATTTCATATAATTTCCTACTTACCTTTGGATATGACCATCCATGTATGCCCCTTGATAACTTCATCTAATTCAAATAAAAAAATACCACAACATAACTCTTCTAAAGAATGTTTCTTTAGTCTAATCTCTAATAATAAACAATTTAGGTCCTATTACCTATTCTCTACAAAATCTAAACAGATCCGGTTGGCCTGCCACCTAGTAGTGGCGTTGATGCTTGGCGCGCTATACAACGGCGCCGGTGCAGATGCTGCCCGTGTTATGTCCAACACCGGATGTCTATTTTTCTTCCTTCTCTTCTTGTTCTTCTCCAACGCTATGCCACCGATACACACTTGTGAGTTTTCATAATATTAATAAAATAACATATGCATTTATGAGTAATATTTATGTGTAATAATCTATAATTTTTCGTATTGGTCCGGGTATTTTCTACGTACTACATACTTATATCGGTGCATATATTGTATTTACACAAAAAAGATTTGAAGCATTAATGACCTTTATAGCACAATGGTACTCTGTGTATAATACTATATTAAGCCTAGATACGAGTACCTGCTCCCTTAAACATGTAGTAAATGATTAAATCGATAGAATCGTTACGGTTAACACTCACATGGGGAAAAAACAAGACACCGGACATCGCTATCTCATTCTATTTTTAGAACTCACTAGCGATAAACGATTCTATCAAATAGATTAATTTGTTTTTGTCTAGAAGGGCTTTTGTAAAAATTTTAAATTATAAAATAGTAGAAATTATTTTTAATAGAATAACAGCTTAAAAATTGGTAAAAATAATTCGTAAAATCGAACACTTCCAAACTAAAATTACAACGGCACCCGCTATAATAGAAATTGGCTCCCGCTGAAATTTACTACAAACCAACTGAACAAAAAATCCTTAGGGATTGCAAACCCTAGACCAGACAGTTTCTCCATGACAGATCCTATTTGAATTCATTTCATATATGTAACCCAGCCAAAAAAAGGCATCTCGCCTTAAAATAAAATTTCTTCGGTCGCGTTTTGTGAAATTAGTCCCAACAGGATTTGCGTAAATCGTTTTATCACTTAATTGCAACATAATTATTTTCACAGCTATTTATTACCATACTAATTTCTTTCCATATTTTTTCCAGTTCCCGTGGAAGCGTCAGTTGTACTCCAAGAGCATTTGAATAAGTGGTATTCTCTTACAACATACTGCGTGTCCAAGGTCTTAGTCGATTTGCCCGTACAGGTGAGTTCAGTTTTATGAAATAGAAACAAATGACAAACGTAGGTAGATATAGTAGAAGGAGATTGTAAGTAATAAAGGAATATTTTTAATGGATGTTCCTGGAATGGTAATCCTGTCTGCGCTAACGTTATACGCTGGCGGGGCACCAGTAAAAGATGATAGGTTAAAATTAAAAGGCAGTTCAGTTAGCCTATCGTGTTAAATATACCTGGAATTCAGCACGATAGTTTCCAGGAGGGACGACGTGAAGATCGACCTGATAGGGTGTATTGCTAGCAATAAGACTGGTAGTCCATATTACTAACACTCCCTTTCCCCTCCCCCCAGTATGGACTAATAGATCCATTACTACCATGTCAGGTCGACCTCCTTACAGTCTCTCCTAAAACCTCATAATTCCTATTGAATTCGTCACGATAGGCCACCTGCCCTGAGTTCATCTTCAACTATTATTCCTTACTAAGACGAGGTTATTTATTCAATTGTATGCCATAAAAGAACATCTGTTGGGTTTTGCTAATTCAATAAATAGCCCTTAATCATTTATAAACTTATTTGGCAAATTCTTTTTTATCTAAATGGATACACTTTCGGATTGGTCCCATAAAAATTGTATCAAAATAGGTTTATTAGTTTAGTTTTTAAATTGAAATAACTGGTTTTGCCACGATTTAAGTCAGTTTTTCTTTACTGAACACAGTCTTAATGTTTTACAACTATCCAAAAAAGAAGCATAATCATCAATTTTTAGGGTTTATGTATATAAGCGTGTGTTTCTTAATACCACCATAACTACTAAATGTCTAAACAGATTTGGATGTAGATATGGCACCTATTATATCATTAACATCCTTACGTCATCCCGAATGATGGGTAGTCCATTTTAATAAGTCGTGTTTTTTTAATCCGCAACAATAAATATAGACTATATGTTACACATATATACACAATAGATATATATGTAGGTAGATATATGAATTTGAAAGAAGTCGATACTTTTATTAGGGAATGAACGCCCAGAACATTTAATTAATTCTCATGGACAGCTTCGGAAACCTATGCATTATTTAAGCTTGTATAGATAATTGCAATAATAATTTTTACTAAAATATCAAAGTCCATGTTATGTTTACGACGACATATAGGTCCTTTGGAGGATATAAGGTTTTATAATAATATCAATATTTCAGCTACTCTGCGCAACAGTATTCGTGTTCCCGGCGTGGTATCTAACATCACAGCCGTTAGACGTGAACAGGATGGCTCTTGCGTGGTTCATATGTGTCCTTCTGACCATTTTGGCTCAAACATTTGGTCTTGCAGTTGGAGCAGCTTGTGGCGTTAAGGTATTATTGTCATTGCTTATGAAATCATTTATTGTTAATTATTGGTATAAAAATATCCTATGTATTAATTTATGATTTATTTATGCACCAAATTTTATTAAAATCTGTCTAGCCATTTTAAAGTGATTACGTAGCAAACATCCAATCATCTTTATAAACTTTTATAATATTAGTAAAATAAATTATTATTTGTTTATGGGAGCATAATAAATACATATTATGCTATATATGGTACTTGGTAACATACCTTAGTATAGCATTTGTGAAATATTTTTAATATAAATACCTAGACATTAAAACTTTAAAAAATTCCAATGAGAAATATAGGGTTAATTCACTTTCAATCCAGTAGCTAGTAGTGTTATTTTATACTAGTAGCCTATACTTATAGTTTATACATATAGTTTACATCCATTGTAAGGGAATAGAACGAAGAGATATAAAAATATAGTAATAATTTATATTTTAATATAACAAAGCGTTACCTAGCAACTGGTGTAGTACCTAATTCAAAAACTACAGTAAAGCGGCCAGTTACAGTTATTTGTGTTCAACACACCCCCATATATTTTGTAATACCTACATTACCTACGTATATATGTTTTTTATCTTAGATTTTTATATAACATTTAATTATATTTCTTTTCAGCTCGGTCTATTCGTTATCCCGGCAGCGAACATACCAATGTTAATGTTCTCCGAATTCTTTATACCTTACCGGGAGATACCGTACTACCTCCGACCTTTCGCGACCATATCATACTTTCGATACTCTTTCGACGCATTTCTAGAAACGGTCTACGGATTTCAACGTGCAAAGTTACCGTGTTTAACCGACACATTCTGCATGTTCAGAAAACCCGAGGACTATCTGGAATATTTAGGTCTTTCAAGAGATATAAACAGAGATATAATTGCTTTAGTTTTGTGGATTGTTGTTGTACAAATAGGTCTAATCTCTGTTTTAGTGTTTAGAGTTTACAGGGCCTGTAGATAGTCCATGTTGTAAGTAGGTATCTGTTTATGTAAAAAATACACAATTCAATCCGAAAGCTTATCGATATTAGGTAATGTGATTTTGTTATTAAGTACGAGATCTAAATATATTACAAATATCTCATATTATTATTATTATTATATTGTAGGATAAGGTTTAATATGAGGATCTATAATATTCATGTAAACAAACTAATCTTAATCTACTATTTTTCTTGTAATAATAACTATGGGGTCGATGCTGAGACGCCATTTCTCTAAAGGTACCTACCTATCTCTAAAATAATTTGATATGACTGCGAAATCTTCATTCTAAGGACTATAAATAATATAAATAGATATAATATAAACTAAATTTCTTATAGGTTTAAGTCAAAATTAATATAAATTTGATTTTATAATGGTCCATAAAATAATGATTTCGCGAAACTATCAAATTAAAGTATTTTGTTAATAGATAACAATGGAATGGTAACCCCGCTCCGGATAACAATATATATTGACGGAACACCAGTAAGGGATGATAGGTGGGGATGAAAACAGGGCAGTTAGCCCATCGAGATGAATACAACTAGAATTTAGTGCGATGGTTTCCAAGGGGGACCACGTGAGAATCGACTTGAAATATATTATAAAAACGGCGTTTCAGAATCGATCCTAATGATTGCATGCAAATGAGTTTCATTGACAACGAATTTTACAATATTTTGATTCCCAACATGCACCTTACAAATTTATTTTCAAAAATGCTGTAACATGGATGTAACATGCTCTTAACTATGTACCTACCAGATTCCAAACTAAAACTCTATCATATAGTTTTATATTAGAGATCTAAATTAATTTAGAAAATGAAAAAGTAACAAACTAAGTATTGAAGCATTAATATATTTTTTTTTATTGTTTGTCTCGTATGCATGAAGAGTAGTTCAAAATAAAACTGACATAATAAAACTACTGCTATGAATTGTATAATTTTTTATATAGTTTTTAAATTTATTCCAATCATCAATATAAGTATAAATGTTAATAATAAATTCACAATAGATAACTGAAAAATGTTAGAAAATAATGCCATCAACAGTTTATATCCAGTCGTTATATCCAATAATTCAAATGGTATATTAAATCATCTATGGTCAACGTTTGCAATGAAAACTTAACTTACATGCAGTTTTAATCGAGGTAGTTTTAGGTTTTAGTTTTAGGTACCTACTAATATCAAAATCGTGAGTTTTTACAGTGAATGTGCGTTATCTAACAACTTTTATCTATATGTAAAATTAAATAAGATTGTTTTATGGTAAGGGAATTCCTTTTTCTTACGATAAGGATAGCAAGGTTAGGTTAATAATGAATATAATAATGTATTTATAAACATTTAATTTTCAACTGACATTTAAGACTGGTCTCTCTATTAGGTATATGCTATGCATTAATAAATATATGTCTTATCTATAAATTGTATACCTACCTAAGTATTCCGTTTGCGATAATTAAATGCAGTAATAACCATGAACAGTTTATCATATAACTATTTTATAAGGTTAAACAAAACCTGAACACATTGAACTTACATTAAATAAATGAACAATAAAAGATTGATGAAATTATATCTGTTTCTCCGCATAAAAATGAGAAAAAAAAAAAACAAACAAATCATTGATTTTTTTTATTATTATTATTTGTAATATTGTCTTGAATATAAGGCATTTAATATAAAGAGCTGTGAGGGCTGTGTCATCGTATAAAAAGACTCGACAATTAGCAGTATACATACGCCATATTTTTGCACCAAATCGTCTTACGGTTCATTTTGGAAAAACTGCCAATATTGTAATCTAAGGCTAAGAGCAAGAAAGCAAGTACAAAGCACGTCAAAATTGTCAAAATCGTAATCTTTGTATATGCTACATTTGTATAAGCCGCCTAGTCTTCACATGTACAATGCTGCATTATTTTGTATGTTCATTGTCTAACGTGACATTTTTATAAAGCAAACAAAGCTTAAAGCTGGTTTCACATTTAGACGATAAACTACTTAAGAATTAATGTAACTAATAGTTTGTTCTTAAGTGTTTATAGTCAATAATATATGTACAATTCTATGTAGACTAGACCATATTTTGACTAATACCACGAATGTCTAAAGTTAAAAAAATACTAAAACAACGATTCATACATCTATCTTAGGTACAATAGGTACTTCATATTCGTGCTAATTCTGTACAGAAACAAAATAAGTATCGTAATAACAAACATAGACAAGAAAAACCACTCCTCATAAATTATAAATATATTCGATTTCATCAGCATTAAAATATTAATCAATTTCTCTCGTGTATTGTATTTTTCATGGCCTTTGCTAAATGCAATAGTAAATCTGAAAGATTTACATATATTACAAATAGGATGCAAATTTATACTATAGTGGATATAGTTTCAACTATAGTGGATAAAGTTTATGTTCCAGAAAACTTAGTCATTTCACAGCCTCATAATGTTTAATATTTGTGTTTACGTATACATACTAATGTTAGTTTATAATCTCGGCTGTTTGTATGTAATATAATAATTAATACATATTTTTTTTTAAATACTTTGATAATTTAAAACATTATTTTATATAAACTGTTTTATTACTGATACTAATCAATAGCAGCACCATTTAGAAAATACATTACTGCTCAAAAGTATTTGGCCACCTTGCATTTTGTTTAAATTACAAACAATACATTTTAAAGAGATAATTTATTAGGTTTAATTTTTTGTACAATACAATCATTAACAGCTTATTTTATTTGTCGACTCCAGGTCATAAAACCATAAGTGTTATTGTCGGAATTTTTTCGAAGTTAATCTTTGAAGACGCAATTTAGATATTAAGAAATAAACACAAGTAAAATATAGAATAATTACTACAAATATTTTTACATTAGTTATCTGATGTCATTTGACCAGAAAACACGCTCGTCGTAGCTCAGTACTTAGTCTACCAATATTTTTTGTTTTTAATTTTTTAAGAAAATAGGTAAACCTAAGGAATATTAAAAAGAGCCCCTGATGGGCATAATAATCGGTCTTAATAAATTCGGTAAAAGTAATCGTGAGATTTCAAGACTACAGAAGATACCGAGACAAACTGTTGACTACATCGTTAAGAAGTTTGTGGTTGAAGGAACAATTTATAACAGTTTAATGCGAATCCTGATAAACCAGACAGTGTATCCACAGTTAAGACTTTGTGACGCAGGACTCTAGGGATGCATAGTTGTTTCAAAACCACTTTTTAAATCTATTAACAAAAATAAGAGACATAGTTGGGTGAGAGAACACAAGAATTGGACAATAACAGATTGGGAAAACGTTCTCTGGACGGACGAATCAAAATTTGAAAATTTTTGCGGCAGTCAAACGAAAAGACGAATGGCGCTTGTACTATGGCTTCAATTCAACACGGCAGAGGATTTGTGACAACAACAACTTAAACCTCATAGAACTATTGTGGGATCAGCTAGATAGACAGGTGCGAAAACATCCCACATCTCAGGAAGACTTATGAAAAAAACTGCAGAAGATAACTGATACAACATTGGAAAAATTAGTAGCTAGGTTGCCTTATAGATCAGTTATTTAAAAAATATTATTATATATTTACAAAATTTAAAAAAAAATTCTCTTGGTATGTCCAAAAATAATAAACATGTTAAATTAATTATGAAGTAGTTCCACTCACTCAGACTTTTATAAAATTTATTTTACTAGATAGCCAAATACTTTTGAACGGTACTGTACATATACTTCTAACATAGAATATTTTTTACAGTTTTGGATTGAGACGTACACATATACACATAGCTATATACACATATAATTTATCATTTGGTACTCCATTGCTAATAATATATAATACAGTGTTCGGGATAAGAAATTTTACCTACTAGGTGTGTTATTATGTGTGCGAATGAAACGGCTATTTAATAACAATATTAATGCCACGTGTCTATTAATCTTGGTATCGACAAAGGTGTACCTAAATCTTCTTTTTATACAAAATACCTACATTAAGCTTGAATACAAATTCACATAACGACATCGCTAGTAAAAACATTTTTGATTTTCAACTCTGTATATATATTTTCCCTAACACTGAACTGATTTTAGTAAAGTTTTAGTTAATTGCAATCGATATCATATTCTTCCATTACAGCTATACTAATTTCATCACGATTGAATTAGCATTTTTGTGCAACATAATCTTAAATTATTATAATAAACTTAAAGATATATATTCACAAAATGTAAGATGCATAATCAGTGATATTTTTCTAAAACTACAATGTGATTTTTTTAATAACTACATATTTAAAATATTAACATTCAGACGCTGAGACATTGGTGTGGTTCACATTAAATAGGTAGTTTTATAAATAAATACAGCCAATCGGATCCTATTTCACTAAACGCTAATAATACAACTGAACAATAAATAACTTTAAAATCTTACTAATAAAATTGTTATTAGACGATGTCTGTACATAATTAAGAAAAAAATAATATAAGATTAAGAGGTGTTAATACAATAATTTTTAGAAATTTCGTCTGTCCGTCTGTCTGTATGTTTGTTCCGGCATCGCGGCAAAAATTACTGCACTAAATTGGATGTGGATTTCACAATTGTGTTTCTGAACGTCTAACTTAAAATCTGATGAATGCTTTGTCTTACTCACTTTCATCTACAAATGGTCTGCTTCATCGCCTAAACCCACGCGTACGAAGTAGCGGGTAAAAAGCTGGTGATAGTACATAATACTATTTGAATACCTAATGTAATATAAATACTTATCAAATAAATAATTATTCGTCATACGAATAATTACTCTGTTGGTTATAAAACTATGATATTTTTTAAATAAAACTCAAACAGAGTTTAAGAAGTCAAATACATAAAACACAAATAAGTAGAATAGGAATGTGCTTTCGTTCTAATCTTTGGTGCAAATAAATATGTATAAATGTTAAATTATCCAAAAGCCTTTTAGCGTCAAATACCTAAATCAAATGAGTTTCGTTTCTTCAATGTATAAGATTCTTCTAAATTAATAGTCTTTATTATAAAGCTCTAACATCGATTAATTGGATTATATCCACTTTTAATTGGTTGCCATATCACATTACTTGCAGCACTATGAGGGCAAATTATTTAAGTTTTTTAGTTTTCTGTAACAAACAATAATATTATATTAGAAAAAATAAAGTTACTCAAGTACTTTTGTTTTATATAGCTTGAAATAGCAAATAAGCTGACAGAAATTGATAACTGTCACCGATAGACATGAATATTACAGCATCAAATTCAAAATCATCTTTTGTCAAATAGGCTTGTTTACCAGCACTTTTAAATCGTCATTTTTAAAACTCTGACTTCGTAGAATAAACTATAATACCCATAATACTCATATTTATGCATCCTATATTTACACCTTTATATACTATTTAAAGTACAACTTCTTGACAGAACAACTAGGAGGGCAAAAGTACTGATATAAATGACTTTTATACAGTTCTCCTTTGACACTTATAATTAAATATTTTAAATAATAAAAAAAAAGTTACTCACCTACAATAATCAAATGGTAGATTTGATGTTTTTAACCATAAGTATACACTCAATGGGATACTCCACGTTCTTAATGGACCTAACATAAATGCCATCGTACCATATTCAAGCCAAAAGAAATACGCTAACAGTAACTGTATTGATAAAAGAAAAATAAATGGCAGGTTCTTTATTAACCGTTTATAGCCTCTTTCATGGTGACTAAATAGCCTATTTTCTAAAGAACGTGCAAGTACAAAAATAAGAGGTATTTGTACAAACATTAATTGGACACTTCCATACATATATGTAAAGGCTTCTGGTAAAAATGAACCCCTTATTACTATACCCCAAGCAAAAACAACTCCTATATGATCATCTATTAATTCACCAATCGCCCACGGTCCAAATGGCAAATACGCTGTGTACAGAATGAGAGGGTAAAATATTCTATCAATTTTGGTGAGTAACCAAACTCTTCTAAGAACATTGCAGCCAAATCTCCTACGATATTTTGGTGGACACTTCTGCAGTCTCAAAGTTACTAATGGCACCACACTTAACAGAATAAGCGTAGCAAATATGCCCTGAAACTGTAAAAAATGCATTGAATGTCATAAATAAAGATAGACGACATTAGTATCTCAATCTATAGAAAAGTTAAATGTTGTACAATGGAACTATTAATTGTAAAGGCAACAAAACATTTTCCGTACTATAACTTTCGATAGATGCAACGGCGGCATCTTTTCAAATCTATCTCTATGATGTAAATAAAATAGAATCACTTTTATGTATACTTACTAAAACAGCAGCATCCGTCATGAGTAGTAATCTTGGCGTTACATCAAAATTAACTAGAGATCCATCTAAAGAAAATGGATGTTCAACCACTGCCTCTTTACCCGACTTATCAGTGACTATTACGTGAATATAGTGTAAACCAGTTGCAAATAGATGTGGTCGCCATTGACACACATACAGCGGTCCCTCTGTATGTCTACATTTCATCCAACTAATTTGGTCAAAAGAAATTTTAACATCAATAATTTTAACGTTACTAAAAGCTAATATTCTTATATGAGTTGAATGAGGAATCAACTGAAGAGGTTCCCGGCCGGGCATCATATATCGTGCATGTTTTGGATTTGTCACCAAAACGAGAGGCCACGTATTGTGTTTTTGATCCACAAATGAGAAAATTCCATGATCAATAGCAGCCAAACGAAACATTCGATTGTCCTTCCAGTCACCTAACTCCAGTTCTAAATAGCCTTTCTTCTGTTTTGTATACATATTTGGAACCAATCCACCCATGGAATGTAAATGGCCACATACATAGACCTGCGACCCAGGGCTGCTACCCATCAGTTCCCGCAAGTTCAATCTTTGAGAATCGTTTTCTAAAGACAATATACATGAGGTTGGATAATGACCAAACCAAATAATATGATCAGCTTTATCAGCTTCTGCTTTTAATTTTTGTATATGTTGTTGTTCTTGTATGTCTAAAAGTCCTATAAAATTGAAAGGCCTTCTCAGCCCTGGCTCTGGACAAGCATCGATGCCTAAAAATGCAATGTTAACACCATTCTTGTTTTCAAAGTGAACATATGATTTTGTATGAGTAGCTCCTTGTACAGAATAGTTTCTGAAATAATTCTCTCGTGAATTTATAGTTTGAATGTTGAAATTATCTGGAAACAATTTATTTATAAAATTATTATAATCAGCATAAAAAATTGTTGAGAGTTCAAAAAAACAAAGAAAAATATATTAGAAAAAAGATTAAGTGAGCAAGTGTGTGGTAATTGTTTAGAAAATGTGCAAGTTAGTAAAACATTGCCTTTTTTAAGCAACTTCAAATTCATCATTTTCTCGGAACAGTTGTAAAATTACATTTAATTTCATATTATTATGTGGATTACAAGTAAAAAATTAACTTTCCAATAAAATTAAAAACCATATTTACTAAATGTCTATGGACTACAAATAGAAGTCATAAAACCTTGTTATAACATGAATAAACAAAAAGTAGTGTAATAATAATAATAACAACTTATCATTACCATGATTTCCTCGGATGTCCAACCAAACTATATTTTTTGTAACTCCTGACTCTTTAATAATGTTGTAATAGTAAACCCATTCTGTTTGGACTTGTGAACTACCCAAATTGTCTTTGGCTTTAGCATCAGTCAAGTCCCCAGTTGCTAATACCAGGAGTGGCATAATCTTTCTTACAGTAGTGTCACAGAATTTTTGGAACTGTAATATTCTCCCAGGGTCACGAAATATACTTATATGTATATCAGATATCTAAAATAAAACTATCAAATTAAAATTTTGGGCTACAACCATAGATGATTGTTATTGCAACATATAAGGACCAGGCGATTAAAATTATTGTAACACACTTATTATACATCAAAATTAATCCAAACAATTAAACAGTAAAATTTTGGACAGTTCCACATATCCCTACTTTCCTTTCGTAGATTTTTTATTTAATAGATAATTTCGTTACATTACTTACAGCACACAAATTACAATACAAACATACACATAATACACAGTAAAAGTGATAAAAGAATGAAAAACAAAAAAAAGAACAAAAAAAAACAAGAAGCAAAATATATAAAACAACAATTTCCCTTTTTTTTTCATGTGTGTGCCATAGTAATACAAAACGGTCACAACTCAGTTTATTGCTTTGCCCTCAAAAGAGCAAAACACATTATGTGACTGGTAGGGATAAATGAAATAAATATGCCACTTTTCCCAACCAATATTTTTTTTATATAATAATAAATACAATCTGTTAAATAATTAGTACTACTAATTATTAAATGGGGTAATTATATTAATATAAATATTCCTATGTGGATATCTGTTCAATAGTGTAAGGAGTACATTATATTAAATCTTTGAAATGCCATTTTCACTGTAGGTTTCTTACATTTCTTTTAAACTGACTTTAAAAATAGGTACTCTCAAATTTACTATTCCTGTTTCCTCATTTTAAATATGAATTTTGTTTATGACTAATTTAAGCTTAAAAAATTTAAGTTTAGAATTTTTCCTAAGAATATTATGGATATAAATTATTTTTATTTATATAATAAGAGTATCATTTTAACTAAGTAATTTGAAATTGCAGATTTTAAAGGCATTATTAATAAATTGAGTTTAATTGACAAAATTAAATTCACCTGAGATGTACATTTTGCTAAATTCTGTTATGACCATGGTACTGCTCATATCTATAGGTGGCGATTACCACTTTCCATCAGGTGGGCTTTCAGTTTATTTGTCATTCTAAGTTGCATAAACAAAAAAACTTGGACAACATATTCAAACTAAAGAATATTAAAACAAAAAAATGTTAATGTTGACCATGTTTTCTTCAACTAAACTTAAGACTGGCTTTTTAAATCAACAATTCCAAAGTAGCTAAAACGATCACCATATCAAAAATATAAAAAATTTTGACAGTTTTGATCTTTTTGTATCAAAATAAATAAAATAATATAATTTTTACAAATTACCCCAATTTAATTGAAAACAATACACAACTCAAAAAGTACATAAACAATTTGCTTATGTATTATAAAAATAATATATATTTCAGAGTTATTTTCCTAGGAAGTCCAGTTACAGGAAATCATTCCGTCCTACTCATCTATTTTTACTTCTAAATTTGATCATAAATGGCGTAAAGTCCATCCAACCATTTCATAATTCAAAAGCAGTAATGCTAACCCTTTGCATATTTTAAGCTATTGTATGACAGTCCAAGATGTTTTAAAATGCTATTTTTACTACAGAAATTGACATATCAAAAGCTATTTTCACAAAAGAAATTCCTTGAAATAAAGGAGTTTATTATTTATGTACAGAATATATGTAGTATATTTGTAAACAAAAGTAGAATTGAAGAATTGAATTTCAGATAAATAGAATTGAATTTTCATTCATCTACCAGTGGAGGTAGATCGATTAAATTTCCACTCTTACCCCCAGTGGAAAAATATTGACAGGGAGAAGCGGAACTGGCCTATTAGGAACCAAGCATCGAAAAAAGTATAAATAGATTCCTTTTTTAAATAACATACAGATGTTACTGCAAAAGAAATATGTTAATAACAAAGGACAAAACTAACTAGGCAACTTACTTGTAAAAACCAAATCAAATTTTTGGTGCCATCGCCTATTGGACCATATTTTTTACCGAGGTAGTTTGTATAATTTAATCCTTCATTATTACTCTCAGTATAAAAATTGTGGTCAGTTGCAATGGAATTTAGAAAATTTGCCATCATTATTGATAACAACAAAAGCACACATAACAAAGATACCGTTGTCTTAGAGATAATCATTTTATAATTTAAATACACAGACAATATAATATGTTATGCAATTATGGCAACTGTCACAAGTATATCAAATACCGTATAAATTTTAATGGTAACTGTTTGTCTACTTTTTAAATATTACAAAAAACATCGTAATCCTATTGAATCAGCTGTCGAGAATAAGCTAAAATATTTAATAGTCAGCACAGCCGTTATATTGACAAAACTGTAAAATAAACTATGCAACCAATTTTCTTTTAATGAGAAAAAATGAACGGTAATCCCGTCTGCGCTATTAATATACGCGTGCGGGGTACCAATGAAAGATGTGGTGAAGATGAAAAACAGGTCAAATAACCCATGGTAACGAATTCCACGAGAATTAACCACGATGATTTTTTTAATGTGTGAAAATGGAATGGTAAACCCGCCTACGCTATTGGTATACGCTGACGGGTCACCGGTGATAGATGAGGATGAAGGCAAATCAGTCGACCCATCTTGAAGAATTCAACAAGAATTAACCACAATGATTTCAGAGAGAACCGCGTGGAGGTGAACCTGATAGGGTATATTACTAGCAATAAAGCTGTTAGAACCTATTACTAACAAATCCTCTCCCCCCCTAACCATAATGGTTTCCAAGAGCAAGAAGGTGTTGTATAATTATTTATTATAGAAGAAAAAGATTGTTAATAATGAGAAGTCTACATTGCTAATAATATATCCTCTTTGGTCAACCTCCACTCGGTCCCCCTTGGTAGTCATCGTGGCTAATTCCTGGTAAATCCATCGTAATGAGCCAACTAACTTGCTTTCATACTCACCTACCATTCCTCACTAGTACTCCTCCAGTGTATACCGGTAATACAAGCGGGATAACCATTTCATTATCATCCATTAAAAAAACTATTACATTTCCTTAATATCGATCTGAATAAGTGTGACTTAAGGAAATATCGCTATAGATAGGTTTGGCCAAAAAACCTAAATACTTTAAACATTGAAATTTTAATTTTCCATTAACTACTTGCATACATAGATTACGATTACCTAAACAAAAATAAAACATATTTTGTTCAGTGACGAAGTGTGATCGCCGAATTGCATGTCAAAGTCGCGAATATAAGCTATCATTTGTCAATCAAATTGTCACTGTCAATCTGTCACTGCCTGTGTTGCTAGAGCTATTTAGTCAAAAGTAATCAATTCTCAACAACTTACCCACCGAATACAACTATTAAATTGCTTAATTGGTGCACTATATACCTTAATCGACTATTGCAGGAAAAAAGGGTTATCGCTAGAATCTAACAGCTGCATTGCCTGCAATATACACTATCAGGTCGACCTCCACGCGGTTCTCCAACAAACCATCGTAGATAAATTTTGTTGAATTTTATTCTCTAGCTGGTGTCCAACCAGCATATCGTATCGTAAATAGTTGCCATTTCAACCACCCATTTAAAATTAAAGTTATTCTGAGGCCTCTATTGTTCTTATCGTATATTAATAAACTCCCAAATATAACCAAATATGCATGTAAATTATTTGCTGATGAAATATCGATTATTATTAAGGCTAAACTCAAAGCTGACTACCAATAGGAGATAAATGACACTGTCGGAAAGGTGGTTGAATAAGAACACTAATAAAAAAAACAAATCAACTAATTTGATAATTAGCTAACAAAAAGTTGATCAATTATTGAGACTAGAAACTCTATTTTAAGCTCTATTTATATAATCTAAGCCTTCGTGTAAATACACAAAAAACTAAAATGATACGATTTTTTAACAAGAATAATAAACCCTATAATTTGTCAATATCATATGACAACGAGGTCATTACTGAATCGGCTACTCACCACTACAGCAAATCTTCTCAGGATAGATGGATTCTCAATTAACGTGAAAGCACCATATTAACATCGTTTCTAAAAAGATTAATAAATTTATATTTGCTTTACATTGTCTTATTATGGATTTGTTTACAATTCTGAAATAGAGACTAATATTATAGGTAAATTCCGTTTCAATAAGTCATCCTTTTATGATACAAATAAAAATATATTCGTGAAATTTTAGTCTCGTAGATCTCTTTTTGAAAAATTAAATATATTATGATTGACGTCTATGTAATATATGTGTGTTCGTTAAAAGTAACAAGCACTTGTATAAAAAAAAGTATAAAACAGGTGCATTTTCTAATAATAATCCATATTAATTGACGACGTTTTTCCATAAAACGACAGCTCCTGCAAGAAATCGTTATAAAATGTTAATAAAACCTATCACAACATAGTATAAAACAAAGTCGCTGTCGCTGTCTGTCCGTCCCTATATATGGCTAAATCTTTAAAACTACGCAACGGATTTTGAAGCAGTTTTTTTTTAATAGATAGAGTGATTCAAGAGAAAGGTTTATATGTATAATACATACATAATATTGCAGAGAAACACTGATAAATTTAGAAGTTTCTAATGTGATGTATTAAATAAACACATTTTTTTTGCGTTTACATTGCAAACGCTGGCTGAACCCCACGAGATAAATCAAAATAATGTACTACAGTGTTGTACACCTTAAAAAGTCCGCGATAATATATGTCCATCTCTTAAGGATAACTCACAATAACATTTTTTATCCTTTACATTTTACGAGAAAAAATGGCTTATTTACGAAGTGTTTTTAAGCAATAAAGCATTATTTTAATTTTTATCCAATTAAGCACTTTAAATATATTGTCCATTTAATATAGATTAATATGACCCTTTACAGCATGTAATTTAAATGAATATTTCCAAAGCTATTACAGATTTAAAATGCAAGGACATAGCGATGCGGCTGTACCGGCCCAGCCGGCGGCGGATGCCTATATAATAGCGCGTCGAAGGCCGCACCTCGCCCTATAGCACTTTATCATGTTCGTATTGTCTAATGACAAAAAAACTGTAAACGTTATTTATAAGGACATTCTGTAGTAGGTAGGTATATTTAGTATCAGCATAGCACCCGTGCGAAGCCGGGGCGAGTCGCCAGTATGCATATAAAACGCGTTGCCAGACTCTATCAAGGAACTTCAAATTTCTAAATTTAAATCTACGCTGAATACCTTAACTTTAATATCACAAAAATCTTTGTATAATATTAATAAATACATGGCATTAAAAAATAGATCTTTTTTATTTGCCTTAATGCTCAAATAGACTATTTTTACATTTGATGTTTTTGATTAATTTTTAATCTTTCAACAAATTACAGACATTTTCCATTTAAATCATTTGACATTATTAATTGTTTATATTATTGATTTATATGAATGACTATTAATTATAGCAAGGAGATTTTTAATTACTTATTTATTTTTTTTATATTCTATTTATTATTCTATTATTATATATAATTATTATTAATATAATTTATAATATAATGAAAATTAAATTACATAATCAATAATAACAAAATACTTAACGATGTCACATATAAAAAAAATTAAGTTGCAAGTAGTTGTCAAAACCTGCAGCTGAGAAAATTCGCTCATGAACTTATATAATTCAATTTACATACATCCATTAAAACTTTCGTTCAACGTCATAAACATATGAGTCAGAAATATCTATACCTACATAACATTTACGATAAAGAGGTAATAAAGTACCTATGACTTTGTCATAATATTATATTAGAGACTTTCTGATGCCAAAAACCTTTCTGTAAAACTCGTCTCATGTGAGGAGTAACGAGGTTGATGTTTATTGCTAACAATATACCTTATTATAATTATAATTATTTGTACACCATTTAGATTGATTATAGATAACTTGCAAAATTTATTTTGACAATCTATTTCTACATATATTTTACACTTACACACACACAGACACACTTTTTTTCATTATTTTATTGTTCTTTCTTTTATCTCCTACTATTAATTATTATTTTTATTTTTGGAATGTGTAATTTCAGTGGAATGTATTTTGTTTAATTGTTATTTAAACACATATCGGTGGGGAGCATGATGATCTGTACTACCGGTTTTAACCTATTTCAGACACCAGCTTCTCACAGCAGAGTTCCGTATTATTTTACTTTTATTTTATCCTAAATACCTCATATGTAAATTTAAGTTGTTTATGAGGAGATAAATAAATATATTATTATTATTTATGATCATTATATTTCACAAATGAATTATTGATTGACCGAATCCCTATCAAGTCGACCTCCACGCGGCGCTCTCTGAAAATCATCATTATTTCCTTGTGAATACGTCTTGATGGACTAACTCACCAATCTTCATCTTCACCTATTATCACTCACTATTATCAATCACTAAAATCTATCACCCTTCCAATACATAGATAACAATAACACTGGCAAGTTTACATTCTATTTTTAACCGACTTCAAAAAGAAGAAGGTTCTCAATTCGGTTGTATTTTTTTAATGTTTGTTGCCTCAACTCCGTTACTTCTGAACCAATTAGGAAAATTCTTTTTTATCTGAAAGGATATACTTATATATTGGTCATATAGAAATTTTATCAAAATCAATCCAGTACTTTAGTTTTTATCAAAGTAACTTGTTTTGTTATAATTGAAGTCGGTTTTTTTTTCTATGGAAAACAATCATAATTATCATCACACAAAAAAGTGAGTTACAATTTGTTTGTCATTTGACACCACAACAACTTAACCAGTTTTCGTAATGCTTATTTACCACCTAATAATTAAACCAGTCTTCATGAAAATTAGTACCTATACACATAATATTTGAGATAGAACAGAATATAGGCTACTCTTTATACCGGTAAGTAGACGAAATCAAAAATAATTATATATTATAGTTTGTATAGAAATCAATGAAAAAGTAAACTAAGTAAGTACTTCAAAAGGTTGTATACAAGTATGGGTGGTATAATAATGTAATGTACACCAGTGTGATACTAGTGAGAGATGATAGGTAAAGACAAAATAGGTCAATAACCCCATAGTGACGAATTCATTAAAAAATCATCAGGGGAAACCGCGTGGGGATCGACCTGATAAATATATCAAGCATATCACAGATGACCTATCGATATCTAACAATCCCTTTCCTCTACAGTGCCTTCAGATTACCACTTATATCCCCAATTACTACATCAAGTGGATGATAAAAATATCAAGATTAGAAAAATGTACCTACCTACTTAACATATTAATGGAATTCCATATGGGCCAAGTTCATCTATATAGCCAATAATATTTGGTAATTACTTACCTACTTTCTGATTCAGATTCAGACTTAAATACTTTATTTGCCATGGAAACAAATTACATGTAACCCGCCAATACATAATTCAGTTTTAATACATAGCTATAATAATAATAATAATAATCTTTATTCACTACTCACAAGGAAACTGTTTAGACTGTGACTGTGTGTGACTATTAAGTACTTTAAATTAAAATTGTTATCCTTGTGAGAGTCTGGAGTCTGAACTAGGTCGAAACCTGTACTACAGATCTCCAGGCTCTCTCCGGAGTTTTACAATATATTACTGAACATCTATTACTACCTTAATACAAGTGTGTGTGTGTGTGTGTGTGTGTGTGTGTGTGTGTGTGTGTGTGTGTGTGTGTGTGTGTGTGTGTGTGTGTGTGTGTGTGTGTGTGTGTGCGAGTAGTATTTATAGTTTTGTAGTTTTAGATTTTGTTTTATTTTGGAATTGACAACAAATTTTCAGTTTGGTCATACGACAATGTTAGTAGCCAATTAGTTATCTCTTTCTTACATTTAATTTTATTTTTAGAATAGATTGACAGCTTCTTGTTCACCCTATTGTACATATACGGACCCAAGAAACAAAAGAATCTTTGTGCAAAGGAAGTTCTAAATTTACGTGTGTGCTTGCAGATAGAGTATGTTTTACGTTTTATTAATGATTGTGAGTTATACTCTATTTGGTTGTGTTGCTTAAGGACGATAGTAAGTATAAAGAGTTGGCGAATTGTCAATACATCGCATGATTCGTACAATTGTTTTGTAGGATATAATATTGGTCGAAAACTTGAAACTTTTAGAACGGCCCTCTGTGCTACTTCAAGTGGCTTCAGAATAGTTTTTGGAGATCCTCCCCATATCGATATACCATAAGTACACAAAGATTGGCATAGTGTTAGGTAAATTGTTCTTATTAGTTTCTTATCAACAGCGTGACGGAGTCTTTTAAAAACCACTATAAGTTTGCGTACACGACTGGTAAGATATGTTATGTGGTGTTTAAAGGTAAGTGTACAATCAATTACAATTCCCAAATATTTTAATTGTGTGGTTTTTTCTAACAAAGGACAATCGCACCGACAATAAATACTGTCTATTAATCATTAAATTTTGGCTTTGTCGTGTATTTATTAATAGAGTAAAATTAATTATTAAAAAAAACATAATTTTTATATTGTTTTACAATTAAAAAATGGCATTTCAGTATTCTTTTGGTAAGATTTAATGGATTTTGCTAAGCTTTTACGTGGTATGTACATATAACAGGTTTGTCTTCGCCTCTTGTGTTATAGTTAAGTTTATCTCGATTTGTTTCATTTTTTTATATAGTATATCTGATAGAAAAATCTTATTTTTCATATTTATTTTAAATTATTCTATAGTCTCTGATCTAAATAGTACTTAGATACTACCAAAAATATAATACGTATTATTTTAAATGTGCTTTTATTATTCTCATGTTAATATGTTAACTGTAAGAGTATAAGCGAAACAAAAGATTAGTGATGATCATAGCCAGGTCACCGGGGCCCGGAACTCGCGGCATTTGAAAATTGTATTTATTTTAATGGGCAGAGGTTGACCGCGCGCATTCCGTCGAAGCGACGCCGCCGCGTCGCGTATCAAACCCTACCCAATGCCCACACGAAGGCTCCAGCGTACGCTGCAAGCCTACAGCGGGCCTCGGTCTGTACCCGCGCACCACTATCTTGCCGCATTCCACTGACTCGGAGCTACGGCGCGCCCCGCGCGTGCCTTCGCCGACCCACGCGCCCGCTTTGCTTCACTCGTTACTCAGTTGTTCATGCGCGTTCATCGTCTCTGTGCGTTTAATAAATTGCTGCAAAGCCCCACTCATGAGATCGCGCGACTAACAGTGAAGTGAAGTGCCAATGGATGCGGTTTACCACGGAACATTGTGCTATTGCATTTAGTGGCATTGGATTTATCTATTCATGGTAAGTTAGTTGGACACCTACGGCATTTTCGACGACCGCAATGGATGCGCGCGCTTTCACGATGCGGCCACTTTCATTTCATACGCATAGCTCGAATTCCGCGCGCCCGCGTCGACCGTGCCGCGGCCGCTGACCCTGCGCCCGCGCGCCCAGCCTCTAAAGCACCACCACACCATGATCACCAAGTTTCCAATGCTGGAATCCGCGTTACATTCTAATGCAGTGCTTGCTATAAAAGTAAAGCAATACAGTTGTATTGATATTATCGTACTTTATTTTACCTTAGATTAATTTAATAATTAAGAAATTCTAAAATAATATTGACGTACTTTAAACTTACGATTAATACAACATATAAAATAATAATTACCTGAGTACCTAGCATTAGTAATAATAACTACATACTTACATAATACCAAATTATTAACATAGTTATATACATACATAATATCATTTGTACCTGTACGTATTAAGATAATACCTGTCTAATATTCGAATTCGTTAATAATTAAAGCTTGGGTAGGACACTTCCGTGCACGTACGTAAACAGAAAAAATTACGTAAGCTTATTTAGGTGTCCGGAAATTAGTATACTACTTTGATTTATAAGTAATAAATAAGTATAATGGTAATAAATAGTAAATTATTTACTACTTAAATTTACCAATAATAACTACCTAATACCATTTTTAAATATAATAAATAAACATAAAAACACAATCATCTAAGATATTTGTCAAACACTAAAGGGATTTTAACTTTATGCCAACTCACTATGTTTATAGGTTTAGAATTCCAGGCAAGTTCAATCTAGTATATAAGTGAGTACCTACCTAGTTATTGTAAAATTTATGACAAGTGCGGGCATAAACTTAAAAAATGAGAAAAAGACCGATTAAAAGCTTGTTAAGTTCTAATCACGGGGAGGGGGGAGTTATTTTTAGTAATGTAGAGGTTAGTCTATTGCCATCAATATACAATATATGTATATAATAATACATCAGGTCAACCTGCACGCGGTTCCCCATGAAAACCAACTAGTTTATCGTTGAATTCGTCACAATGGGCTAATTCATCTATCTTTTCATCCTCAGTAATCATCTCTCATTGGTGCCCCACCAGAATATACCGAAAGCGTGGCGGGATACCATTCCATTATCATCCAGTGAAAAAAGTACTAATCACGCATACCTCACAGTTCTTATATCCTTCTAACTCTTAAATTATAATACAGTTTATACAATTGAAGTCTAACAATCTAAAAACTTATCAATTAATATCATGAAATACTAAATGAAAAATTTTGCATTAACTAACTAGAATTTTAAGTAAAGACCGTACGGAAGTCGTCCTGACAGAGTAAGATATTACAAATATAATACAATTATAGAAATAGACTCTATCTGTTCATAGGAAATATTAAGAAATATATATATATATATATATATATATGAAGGATCTTATTGAAAACAGTACAAGCCAAAACAATAATTTTTGAATTTTTGTCTGTATGTATATTTGTTTCGACATCACTTAAAAACAACTATATGAAATTGAACTCCGTTTTCGTAGGTGTATTCCTAAAGGTCGGAATTAAAATCTGTTGTCCGTTTTATCCTTTCCCCTTGATATCTAATTACATTCCTTTTTTGGTGATTCTTTTTAGAATTATATTTATATACTTAATTAACTGTTCAATATATATACGTATATATAGGTAAAATTATCTGTGAATAAATTAATTTTTTTAGATCTAAATTTATTTGTTTACTCATTTTAATATAATTTAATCAAACAATAGTCTTTGTTCTTAGAATTTAATAAAAGAAAGAGTAAAGGTCATATATTTAGCTTAGATTATATAGATAGAGCACTGAGCATCAAAAATGTGTTAAAATTTAGCAGAAAATCTGACGTTCGGCAAATTTTTTTTTAATCAAAAAGAAAACGTTCTTAAGAGAAATCACGCTTGTTTCAGCATTATAAGTAATTGTATTAATTATTTCCTACAGCAGATATTTTTTTTAATTAAGATATTATAAAACATACATATGTGTACTTATGCGTTGCTTATAAATTAATTATAATAGTGACCTGAATTATGTGTGAATGGCAAATAATTTAAAAATGAAAACACTTTATGTCTACACTCAAATATAAATCAAAGTAAATCTCATACACGGTTTATCTTTTTTTTTTTTAAAATATATTCGTAAGAATTTTGTATTATTTTTATTTTTCAATTTAATCTTATAATATAAATTTCTCCCGTATCATCATCATATCAACCGACAATTATCCACTGCATAAACCTTCCTCATTATATACTGCAGATACTAACTACGCAGAAATGGATAAAAAAGTTGACCCGTTTTTGAAGACACTATCTATATATTCTTAAATATTTTGGTACCTCTAGATAGTCTCAATAAGTAAAAATATTATGCCAATAATTTAATGTTGGTTCCATAAAAAAAAAAAAACTTAAATTGTGACAAAACCAGTTATTGTAATTTAAAAACTAAATTATCGATTTTAACAAAATTTTTTTGGAACTACCTAATAGATATCTTTTTGAATAAAAAGAATTTTCTGCAATAAATTTATAACTGAAGGATTTATGAAGTAACAAATATAAAAAACTAACTGAATTGAGAATTTCCTTTGAAGATGGTTGAAAATAATTTAACATTTTTATTAATATATTCATGAACAGAAATACCAGAATATATTTCTGTTAACTATTTGGTAAGTAAAACAAATGTACAGTATATAACACTAGCATTGTATGTACAATACGAAATTCTCACGTCTATATTTGAAAGAATAAGACAAAGCACCATAACTCGTAATGGTGTCTTCACAGGTGACTTTGATCGTTAGATCTGACAATAGACTTATCTGAACTATTGTATTTGATTCTAAGTAACAGTCATTTTTATTAATACATATTTATTAAATTACAAATTTATGTATATTTATATTACATGAGAAAAATTGTTCCCAATCCAAATATAAAAATCCATCTCGTAATTTTAATCTAATTACTGGCAACACTGAGAAAGCCACATGATTTATTTTTAAAAAGATACGTCAAATTGAACGCAGATCAACCGACATCATTAAGTGAATTTCAACCTTATATGATTTAAATTATAGAGAATTGCCTAACACAAACATTTTTCTGAAGAAACGAGGAACCTTATGTATATACGATAGCCTAGATAAAAAGCGGGTCAGCATTGACAAAGATATCGCATAACATGAGAATTTCTTCAAATGAATTTTGAAAAATGGAAATCAATCTATCAAAACAGCGAACGTGTTAGTTTATCATGACAAAATAAAAAAAATAGTTATAAATGTAGTGGGTATAAATGGTAACTAGTTAACTACCCAAATCAAACATATAGGACTCTACTACCAATAAACAATAAGAAAGATCAATTTAATTTATTTATATGTTACCTACAAAGTTACACACACAAATTGATTATGCAAAAATTATCTAGGTAGTTAACTCTGACGTAAGGCTTAAAAAAAGGCAAAGAAAACAGAAATTAAGCAAACTATTTCTTTCAAGCGACATCCAAATCGTAATTGTGAGTTCATTTGCATGTGCATAACCAATTTATTCGTTTCTTATTAGTCATAGACATGAATAATTCATAATTACTGAATATGTTTAGGCATTTTAATCCTTATTAAACATACTCCTTCCAAAAACGCCAAATACGATTCTCTATCATAGTGAATTTAAGACAGTCGTGAGTAGTGGTTTTTTTTTATGAATATGAAGTAGTGATCCCATGTGCACTGCTGATATGCACTCGATAGGTGAGAATGAAGCATGTATGTTGGCTCATCATAACGGATTCATCAATGTCTAATCGCGACGGTGATAATGATTTTGAAAGTAAATTCTTAAATAAAATGAAACAGAAACCTCTATAATTGCCGAACTTCCATGTGTAATTTAATATAATATAAACTCGCCATTCCAATTCCAGAGCATCGTTAGAGGCTAGAGGAAAATAACACAATAAACCAGTACAGTACTAGAGACAGAAAATTTGAAATAAATAAACAACCCAACCAAACAGTCGGTCCTTCAAACCGGACAATAAAAAAATCACAACTAGTTCAAAAATTGATAAAACTTAATATAATGACCTATACTTCATCTTTCAGTTCAATTGATAACAACTCAATTATAGAATTTCCTTAAAATCTATTCAGCCATTTTCTCGCTTTGACGTAAGAAACTAGCGCTAATTTCGATTGCTTTGTTTATTTCAAGCCTTTCTGAATTAAGTTTTATAACAAAAGTACTAAATATACTTTATTATGCTACTAGCTTTTACCAGTAACTTCGTCTGCGTAACAAAGATATATTCACTAACCAGAATAACAAATAACCTATGTCCTTCTCCACCTAGTATAGAACGTGCATTCGAAATTTCATAGCGATATGTTAAGCCGTTAAAATACTAACAAATAACAAAGTCAATTTCACATTTATAATATTAGTAAAGGTAAATACGAGTATTACCAATATATATCCTGGAGAAACTTATTCATCATCAAATTCATATCAGCCTTTAACTGTCCACTGTTGAACATAAGCCTGGGGAATTTTGCCAGTAGTTGCCCCGCTTGACAGGCGAATTGGCAACCGCATTAGGCTTTAGAGATGTTTTAAGAGGTACGCTGCTGCCCATCCCCCGCTCTCCCTTAGTCGGTTCTTACCACACCCACAGGAAAAAAAGGGGTGGCCTATTCTTATGCCGGGATCACACGGCTAAACTTGTTAAATACACACGGGAAAAATTATTAAATACCATAAATACCACTATAAAGTTTTGGTCATAAATTTAAAAAATAAAGATAAGATATAGATACCTAAACGTACGCACATACGCATATACACCGATGGCTCCCGGAGTCTTTTCCTTAGACCTTAATATAAACATACACATACCGCTTGACGTACACAGCTT